AAAAAAAATATAACTTGATGTATGCAAAATGGCATGTTGTGCAACTGGTTTGTATAAAGATTCATGCACCAAATAGCTCTTTCCGAGGTCTGTTCACAAAAACTTCTTCAATCACTGAGAAAACTATTCCAAATGATTCTATTCCTTTCTGGGATCCCCCCAATGTCTTTGTTTTGTTGGCGCGTTGCATCGCCAATGAGCGCGGCGCAGTGCGTAGTTTCAGATGGTGTGTGAATAATGCGCTCCTTCCATATTAGGTTGCCGCTGGCCCATATTTGGTAAGGCGGGCTGCCAGAGTTGTTCTACTTCTAAAAACTAAATGGTGCACACCTCAACTATCTGACCTCCAATTCAGTGGATCTTTCTTTTGTATTATGAGGATTTGTCATGGCTACTAGCAGGACCTTTCATCAATATTGTGCGTTGATTTCTTGACAATATATTTCTTGTTTCTGCAAATCACATATTCCAAGCCATTGCATGTTTCAGTTCACATGGATGGATGATCTGGGCACCAGCTTAAAAATGCTGTAGTGGATTGACTCCTCTATCTTGAATAAATGCTTCGCCAGAGCTGACATTGAATTTTGAATGCCCCGTCGGAGTCAATCAAATGCCCCGCGGGAGTCAACATTTTGAATTCTCAATTCCCTGTCAGTGTCAATCAAATGCTCTGCCACAGTCAATAAAGTGCTCTGCTAACTTGACGTATTCAAGATCATGCCACAGATGACCATATTGTGGAGGTCATGTTTTCAATTTCAAGGTCAAACACCCTGATGGGGCCATTGCCGACAGTGCCTTCAATCTCAACCTCAAACACCCCGACGGCAACATCCTCTGTGGTGCTTTCAATTTTAATGACAAACACCCCAACAGAGACATCCCCCGCGGCACCTTCAATTTCAATGTCAAACACCCTGACGGAGACATCCTCCGCGGCGCTTTCAATCTCAACCTCAAACACCCCGACGGTGACATCCCCCGTGGCACCTTCAATTTCAATGTCAAACACCCCGACGGAGACATCCCCCGCGGCGCCTTCAATCTCAACCTCAAACACCCCGACGGTGACATCCTCCGCGGCGCTTTCAATCTCAACCTCAAACACCCCGACGGTGACATCCCCCATGGCACCTTCAATTTCAATGTCAAACACCCCGACGGAGACATCCCCCGCGGCACCTTCAATTTCAATGTCAAACACCCTGACGGAGACATCCCCCGCGGCACCTTCAATTTCAATGTCAAACACCCTGACGGTGACATCCCCCGCGGCGCCTTCAATCTCAACCTCAAACACCCCGACGGCGACATCCTCCACAGTGCTTTCAATCTCAACCTCAAACACCCCGACGGTGACATCCCCTGTGGCACCTTCAATTTCAATGTCAAACACCCCGACGGAGACATCCCCCACGGCACCTTCAATTTCAATGTCAAACACCCCGACGGTGACATCCCCCGCGGCGCCTTCAATCTCAACCTCAAACACCCCGACGGTGACATCCTCCGCGGTGCTTTCAATCTCAACCTCAAACACCCCGACGGTGACATCCCCCGCGGCACCTTCAATTTCAATGTCAAACACCCCAACGGAAACATCCCCCGTGGCACCTTCAATCTCAATGTCAAACACCCTGACAGAGACATCCCCAACAGAACCATCAATTCCAGTTTGACACCCCAATGGAGCCACAAATGAGTAGACAAGGTGTGAGTAGCTAAATGAAAAGCTTTCATTTCTTAACTACAAGGTGAGTGTTTCCCTGTTGGGACAAAATTCAGTTTTTGGTTGATATGGAGACTATCTTGCAGGAGTTGGATGAGATAAAGATTAAGATACATTATGCTACAGATCTAGATGGATGTAAGTAAGGGGAGAGAGGCCCCAGTTAAATTTTTTTGTAGTTCCATCAGGATGGGCTGAGAGCCCGTCGGGACGTGGTCAGAGCCCGTCGGTTGAAAAAGTGGTTCCGCCGCGGGAGCGTAAACCCTGCCAGGGTCAGAAACCGGCCGCTTCGTTGCCAATGGAACAATGGCAATCAAACCGGCCGCCCCGGCTGACCCGTTCACTACGACTGATTGTCATGTCCGGCTGTTCCGTTGTTATTGGACCCATGTGACTGAACTAACTACCTTAGGTACAGCCAAGTCGTTAAAGTATTGAAGAACTGCCCGCTGCTCGTGAGTTGTAGTTTCCGCCTAGGAAACACCGGATCCGATGCTTCCAGTCTTGAAATGTCTCCCAGCCAGTACACCCTTACTCTCCCTCTTCTCCAGCACTTTTCCCTCGGCCTCACTGGCAGATCATCGGACGAGGCTTTCTTAAAATACCTCGATTTACCAGCCCTCCGTCATGTGGAGATCAAAGTTCAAAAGTCCTATGGGCATGAGGTACCAGGAAACCAAAACTCCGTTTTGATGGACTTCCTCTCTCAGAATGGTATCAAGTTGAAGAAACTTTCCATTGAAATATGGGAAATGTCGCAAAATGAGCTTATATGTTGCTTGAAATCAGTGCCATTCATCACCCATCTCCATCTCAATAATTTCAATTCTGGTTCTGTCGATGAGGAAATCGCCGACCGCCTCACTCCTTCTGGCAGATACCCTGACTATCTCTGCCCTTTGCTTGAAGAATTTGATTGCGGAGGGTCGGAATGTGCAAGCTTTTCTGAAGCACATCTGTTATCCTTCGTTTTTAAGCGGTGTGCGTCCAAAAACGGGGGACTGCTGAAACGAGTCAATGTTATTTTTAACCGAAAGCGTCCAGAGAACATAAAGGAGCTCTTTGCTTCTCTGGAAACCGTACCGGAGTGGTGGGGCTATATCGATTTTGTATTTGAGGGCTTGATTATGAGGCTGCCGATTGCATTTCTCTTGAATCCGGGCTCGGACATGGGCCAACTACAGCTGTGGATGTCAAATACAAGCTGAAGCAATCAAGAGGTATCGGTGATACCTTCTTGTCTCCTCGGAAGGGCCTGGATGGAAGTTCACTCTTGGAGCGCGCCAATCTCTTTTGAAAGATGAGATATTTTACCTTGTACTCAAAACACTTCCGATTTTATGATAATGTACATGGGACAGCGAGAAATCAGGAGTCTTCAGGAGTGAGCAAAAAATCGGAATATTTTTTTATTGTTGACAAATTGGTGATCACCTCGTGACCGCCGCAGTCCCCTAAGAACGTCGATGGCGTTGGTCTCGCCATGTCATTGGCCATCTTCATGTTAACGACGCTATGACACCAGCAGCGACGAAGGAACAACGTTAAGCCATGCCCAACTTCAAATTCTTCTTCATTTTGTCTTTCGTCGCTCTCAGCAATGGTCAGCAAAACATCACTGTCGACGACGGCGATAGCTCCATCGTCTACGCACCGAGGGGCAGCTGGAATACAGTATCGGACCTCATGGATGTTGGTGGCACCCATAAAGTCACCACCAATCCAGTCGCCACGGCTACGTTCACCTTCACAGGTTCGAATTCTTCCTTGTATCCTTTCCCCGATAAGCGTCAGAATCTTGACGTCGTCATTCTTTCTTCTTTTAGGCGATGCTATCTACTACTCATCGGGCATGTGGCCGTTTACAATCAACACCTGGATCTCGTTGGACGGAGGATCGCCAACCTTGGTTGATTTAACCGACCACTCGTCAGAGGAGCTTATAGACGGACCCGAGACTGTCGCGTCCAGCATTGTCTGGAGTCAAACGGGCTTGGATGACACAATACAACACACCCTCGTCATATCTGTTGGTCCTGGGCAGGAGTATGCCATCGTTGACTCATTGATGTACGTCCTCCACGCACCTCGATCGTCCTGCGTTGTTTTATCCTTTTTGCAGATTTACAGCTACAGATGACACCACCACCACGTCCGCGTCGACGAGTACAGCCGCCACCTCCACCTCAAGCAGCAGCAGCGCCGCATCAACACCAACATCCTCCTCTGACATTGACGATACCCCCACCGCTAAAAAAGGCCTGTCCATCGCCCTCGGTCTCGTCCTGACCATCTTTGGCCTCCTCGTCGCGGGCGCGATCGTCTGGTTTTATCGTCGCAGGAGACAGAAACGTGAAGCAGAAACTATGTGGGCTGGCGAGAGAGTCGTCACCGGCGACAATCCGGATTGGCAGGCACCTCCGATTATGGGCATGGCGACGGACAATGGGCCCTTGTTTTTAGGAGGAGGCGGAGGCGGAGCCATGATTGAGACACCGCTGTCAAGATCGAGCTCAAAAAGCAGTGGGAGGACGTTACCTCCATCTGAAAACTTGGCAGGGAGAGGTGCGAGGTCCAAGTCCATACATCGACCTTACGTGTTTGGAACTTCGCCGTCGTCGTCAAGGCCGCCCAGGGTATTTCCCTCCGGCGGGGCGACAGCGGCGGTTGCGTCGAGTGCAACACAACGCCAATCAAAACATAAGCCCAAACCACGGCCCAAAGCAGGACACGAGCCTACGCCCCTCACATCAATACCTGAAGCCTCGTTTTCTGCGACAAGGCCTGGGCCTGTATCTTACTTTTACTCAAACTCCCCACAAGATGGTGCTCGCACCTTATCTCCTGCCTCTTCGCAAGGGGTTTTACCCGCAGTTGCAGCATCATCATCGCCATCGAATACCTCACTCCCAAACCCTTCTTCATCAACGGAACCTTGGACATACCCCCAACCCTTATTGTTTACCCCCGTCTCTTGATCTGCTTATCGCTATGCACCCTCACCTCTGTGACTTTATGATCTATCGCCCCCCCTTCCCTTCAACTCATGATTTGTGTATTCATAGACGACCGGCTACGATCTGGACCACGCATAAATTGGAATGGCTGTTGTATTTGTTTTTTGCCCTCGTCTTCGTACTTTTGAATTGGACTTCACTTTCGAACAGAGATGGCGCGATGGAGACTCTATACATGTAGTAAACGGCCAACCTTATGCGCCCGAACCAAATAATACCAAATGCAACTTTGTTCCAACTTCCAAGTTACACTTTGTACCGATATGAAAACGTTTGGTCAAGTTACCTCCAACGATTGGCAGACTCGGTCCGCAAACGTTGGTGGAGGGAGATATGGTGGGGGACGGTATGTCCTTGGTATGTCCACATAATTCTGTTCCGTGCTTCACGGAGTATCACCTACTTATTCTCACGATTTTTAGAGCTCTTCCATCGCGTCGCGGTGTCTTATTGCAGTTTGTATTTCCAGGCAACGGGGAGGCCTCTTCCTTTTCTTATGTTTGTATAGAATCATCCAAAATGCCCACAGCCCGAAATAGGTAAGCCCTTTTCCCTTTCAGGTCTTGTCCGAATCATCCGAATCCGCCGAATTTCAGGGATCCTGTGTTGGCGGTGTCTCTCCGCAATGCATCAATTATAGTTGGTTTCCCCTCGCCAAGGACGTTCAAGCCGCTATAAAGGTGTGTGTTTGTGTTGACGTTTTACAACCTGTGAAGTACAAAGCTCCTCGTCATGGCTCTCCCAACAGAAATATGGCTCCGCATCTTTCGAACTGCAACCGTGACGAGAGACTCTCCGCCGCTAGAAACGCATTATCTCCCTTTCCGCACCCTTTTTAGCTCGACTCCACATCTTAATCTTACTGAAGAAAATCAAGCATGGACCACCAAGGCATCGTTAACTCTTGTCTGCAAATATTGGCGAGAACTGTCACTCCAGTACATGTACGAGACCGTATACCTAGGAGAGCACTTGATCTTACTGCTCGGCGGTCTCACGAGATCGGAAAAGGCAGCTGTAGGGAAGGGATATGGGCACAACGTACGACGCATCGTTCTCTCATCCTGGAAGATTGAATGGCCGAGTCCAAAGCACCTCACGAATATCATACACCATTGCCCCAATGCCACCATCCTTGTGAAGCGTGACGACGACACCTCCCCACTATTCCTACCCAACCTCAGCCTTTCCCAATTCAGGCGTTTCGATTGGCAATATGCCCGCGGCTTTAATGTCGACCCCCAACTTTCTTATCTCGATCACGGTCTTGACTTTGTCCGAAATACGGTCGCGGCTGCCCACAACCTTCGATATCTGCTAATCGACATCCGCTGCGCCGCATCCCGATCCTCTAAGTACCCTCCAACAAAAATCACGTTACCAAATCTCTCTATTCTCCATGTGCGGGGCCTTAACTCGAACTTGCGCCGAGAGATTGAGGGCTGGTCTTTCCCCAAGCTCACGCACATCATCACAGACTGCAGCCTTCTGTGGTATACCCCTTCAGCCTTGTTCAATTCACAGATTGAGGTCATAGAGTTCCTACGGGACGCAATGTTGGTGGAATTGGTCCCTCTTGGAATTGTCGAGCGATGCCCTAACCTTCGTGAGCTCAACTACTCGCCAGAGTTTATGCGATTCCCGGTCTCTCACATTTTGCACATCGGACTGAAGTGCATCGGTCTTCACGCGGGATCGAATTTAGATCAGCCAGTTGCTGATTTACGGAAACGTTATCAACGGCATTTCGATGACATTATGGAGACGTCCTTGCCAGAACTTCAGGTCATCATACTCTACGGAGACTGGGCCATGATTACTGAAAGTAATTGGTTTCCCCTTGCCGTGAAGAAGGTGATTGGTCGTGGATGTCGGCTGGAGTATCCTGATGGTTCGCAAGTTATTGATTCGTGATCTCTTAACGTGAGTATTTGTATACTCACCCTCACTTCAATTGGATGACAGTGTGCTATAAATTTATAACAGTTTGACGCCATTTTTTCAAGCTTACTACATATGTAGCAAGCCAAGATGAGGAATACGGAGAAAGATAACGCGATTCGCAACTTGTCAAAGTCGGAGCCACTCAAAAAGAAGAAAAAGGCTAGTTCGCAGCTTATCTCAGCCTTGAAGTCAGTGATCAGCCACCCTGAAGTCGACGCTGGCGGTATCATATGGCTTGCCAGTGTAAAACTCCAGTTAATCATGTGATGCGACGCGTCGACAAAACACCGCCAAACGGAAAGCAGAAAACAGTTTCTTGTCGAAGCCTTACAGATGTTTACCTCATGTCTTGCATCAATTATTTTCGGCGTATAGAATCAATAGAATCCAGATCAAATTAGACACTCTTCCAGGTCTTTCGTATTTCAAGACACAAAATTAACTTCATGATTCACTGTAAGTCAATGTAGGAGGACGAAGGGTTATGGGAAAGCACTAGAGAACAGGGTATTGATTCCGAGATTGCTTCAATCTGTCGAGCATTCCGTTCTGTCTCCGCCCTTGTATTTATTTTTACACACCGTCATTGACACTGCCTGCGCAGGCTGTGGAATTTTAAGGAAATGGTACCTCGGAGTCGGAATGAGGTGTATGATACCTTGACTTTTACAAGGCAATTTTCGAAGCAGTAATACTACCTGAGTCTTGGTTTCTGCAACATCAACTGATGATTCTGGAAGCCCAAGCTTTCGCAGCTGTGGATTTTTGAAGAACTGGAATCTATTGCTTCCGTAACGCCGTTGCTACGAATGGGGTTTTTTTGCGTCGGGCTGTGCCGTGCCGCACGCCACGAGGAAAAGTATGTAAACATTCACTTGCCCTGACCAACCTAAAAACGCACATTCCATTGAATTGTCATGTCTGTACCTTTCCCACCAACCACAATCACCGTCTTGTCAAACTTGTCTCTTCCGTGCTAGCATGCCGCTCAGAGTAGTGGTCATACTAGTACCTTTCGCGGCATCTTGCTTTGCTCTACAAGTAATTACACCCAACGCTTTGTCTGGATGGACGAATGGAGGGCCTCAAACGTACGTGTTCTTCCGGCCTGGAGACACCACTGTTGATTTCATGAATTCGATTTGGACAATAGGATCTCCTGGCAGCGCGTTGTCACCGACCCAGCTAACTTTAGTATTGTTCTCACTAACCAGGTGAAGTAAGGCCACGCGGGCACCACGCATCTCGCTTTCATACACGTCGCTGACGTGTTACCATTGTTCAGAACCGCACACTCTTTCCAAATGACCAAGTCCTCCTCCCTGTCGTAGACAGCACTCTTCTGTCTGCGGATATCGAACCACCTGCAAGCGGGTGGCCCACAGCAGGTGCCGGGTATCGCGTCAACCTCGTTTTAAGTCCCAACGACCTTGCTTCCATTTTCGCCCAGTCCGATCAGTTTTCTATCGTCGAGACAACAGCGTCATCTTCCACTTCGACTACCACAACGAGTTCCACTTCGTCAACAACCTCATCCACCACTAGTGCCACCACGACCAGCACAAGCATGTCCACCTCCTCATCCTCATCCTCATCCCCATACCCATCCGCAGACCCCGAAGCGGATTACGACAGGGCTTCTACTCGACGCGTTGTGCGGATCACAATAGGGATAGTATGCACCGTCATTGCACTTGTTATTTTGCCCTTGCTTTGGTGGTACTTTGTCCGAAAAAAACAGGCAAAGGCAAGAGAGAGGCATCAAGCTATTCGGAATTGGACCATCGACGATTCCGACCTTCCCGATGGTACTGGTCCGGGGACAGCGCTCATTGGAACTCATGAGGGCGGCTACGACCCCAGCGAGCACGGATGGTATGATCCATACAAGCCTTACGACCCATATATCGAAGCGAACGGGCCAAATCCTACCAACAAGGACCAATCTGCCACAATGCCGAGAACTTCCTCTCCGCCGAAAAGTGTACCTCTGGCACAAGCCCGCCCCGGAAACAGCACCCAAGTAGGGGGAAGTCAGCCTCGAGCTGGCAATGTTCGGAACGGTGATAACAGAAAATCATGGACGCTGGAGGGTAGGGAATATAGAAGAAGCACCTTGGGCATGTCAGTCTACACCAGCGACTCGGAGGACGTCGATGTTCCCTCAGAGACTGCGAATACTGGTCGATGATCCAGCTTGGATGGATTCGCCGCAAATACTGGGGCTGTGTTCGCGGTTATCTCCTACCACTACGAGACATCGTAGTCGGCATATCGAGTGGACTTACTCCGGGAGGGTGAAGTCGGGGACGTTGGTTTGCGCAACGAAGATCGCTGGCACGAGCACGTGCATGATCAAAGTCGCGTTTGACGCCAAGCACGGCCACACATACAAATCTTTGCATGTCCATATCGTAAATAATACTTTTGGAACGCATAGAAATGTACAGTCCTTCGATTGTGAAGTAGATATACCATATAGAAGGTGAACTTTTTTTGAGACGAAGCAGCCCCCTGCGAATTCGAGAGTGACTGATTCGCGGGATTGTTCTCAATCTGATTTCCCAGAATAGGATCTGCCCCTCTGTGAGAGAACATCCGCCGTGAACTGATAAACCCTCTATGTAGAGCAAGTAATATTAATTATGTAGAATTGTCCAACCCCACCATATCAAAAAGAGTCCCGTACAGGTAGCCCCGCTTTTATCTATGTGTAAGATACATGTGCTTGACAGACAAATGAATTAAGTGTACCATATTTATCCCAATTACTTTATGACCTTCATGTCCATCTCATTTCATTACCTAGAACGAGAATATACAGTTCCATCCATAGCTCTACTCGTGGTCGAAGTACCGACGGACGTCGATAATGAAGATGCTCTTGTGTGTTTGCCAGAAGACAGGTAGGAAGAAACCGCGGTAGATCCTCCTACCGTTGCTTCTTTTCATTCTGGACCCCACCATTGTACCACCCGCTACTCTGGGCGTTAGGATTCTGATAAGCACCACGCAGATCAGAACGCTGATGTCCAACATTAATGTCGGTACGCTGGGGAGCTCCGTTCCCTATCGCGTCAGGACGCGAATACCCCAAAGCAGAATTGGACCTCAGCTCGCTCCCCATCTCTGACCCCGTTTGCGGCGTATAATACGCTAAATCTGTGTTGAGAGATGCTGGGGAGTTGGAGTTGGCCAGCGGCACTTGACCCTCGCGATGCTGAGGAGTGGATTTCTCGGTGATGGTGGAGAGGGTGTTAGCCCCATGCTGATACCTATTCGGGGCTCGCATGTTCGAAGGGTCGTTCATATCCCCTTGCTGCGGATAGTTGGGATCGTATGACTGGTGACCTACCACAGCAGGTAACGGCATGCCCACGAATCCGTAGCGAGGATTTTGCCAGGCAGTCTGACTGGATTGTGGTCCTGGATAGCGTTGGTTTGAAGGTGTGTACTGGCCTGGCGTGATTGGAGATGACGAGCTTCCCGTCATCTGAGGTGTAGAGGGAATCGTGGATGAAGGAGGGCCTTGTACCGTCCAGGCTTCGGAAGGTGGCCGTTTTCTTGGCTTGCAGCAGAACCAAAACGCTGCAGCGATGAAAAGAAGACCGAGGACACCCAGAACGGTTCCCAGGGCGATTGGCAGGACATGCTTTTTGGTGGACGTGGAGGTTTGAGATGGGACTTGGGAAGCAAGAATGCGACCTGTGGTAGTAGGCACGGGAGTAGGCGATAATGATGAAACGGAAGAGGAGCCGAGATCAGCTGGGTCAAGAACGGTGTAGCTGCATTCACAATCTATGAATTAATTGAAAGCGTATGACAAAAAACGAGGATGGCCATACATCAAGCCGTCTACAATGGCAAATGGCTGACCAGCACCAACTGAGATAACAAGTCTATGTGGCCCATTCGCCAACCCAGTAGCGTTCCACACAACATGAGATTCTACAGTCTCCGGGCCTTGCACAGCACTGGTCGAACTGCTGTGATCCACCAAGTCGATGAGGAGTATGGGCCCGGAATCGAGTGAAACTGCTGTGTTGACTAGATAAGGCCAGAGCGGTGATAAAAAGTATATAGCTACACCTGAGTGCAGATAGAAGATGAGCAAATTGTAATGTTATGAAATCCAAGAAGAGGTCGAACACACCAGTAAAATTGAACGACGCAGTCGCATTCGAATTTTGCGTAAGGATGTGAGAGCCCCCATAATCCAATGCACTCGCAGCGGATCGATTCCAGGCGCCTGTGGGTGCATAGACGATTGAGGGATCCTGATCGTCAATGGTGACGTTGTGCCGCCCATCGACGAGTCGAAGAACAACGACGAAGAGGGCGACAAGGAGCAGGTACATCGTCAAGTTTGGAGAGGCTTCGACCTGGCGTCTATCATGCCGACACCCTCAGTGGGCCCAGAGTCCGACGTATCAACTCGTGTTCGAAGCATTCAGGAACATGGCTGAACGTCACCGCATCGGCGTGGATTGGGACATAATAATATTCGGCAATTGCCGGGCTAAATCTCTGGCTCGAGTTTCATTCAATCTGTGTTCTTCCAACCCAGCTCAGTGGAATTTCGAAGGTAATACTCTTTAAGGATTAAAATTTGACCGCTCACCAAGGCTTCATATTATCTGACTAGGAGTGGGACGCTTGTCTAAACCGTCTGGCAGCATTGTCATGCCTCAATATCTCTGTGGTCGACGATCGTAAGTAACAGTGACCGATAAGCACAAGGATATTTTTTTTCATGTCTTTTCTCATTATAGATTGAGTGAGCGGGATCAATGACGGCCTGGAGGATGGTAATGTATAATCGCCAGTACTGTGGGGTACCGTTTGACATTTATTTCCAAGAAGCCTACGGCTCACCCGAGACTCAGATGAATTACCTGCTTCAGAGGCCTGACACACCAAAAAGCCTTCGTGTGATAACTTGTTTCTGTTCTTCCGCGATCGAACATACCCTTGCATAAGGGGTGCACAAACAACGTTGGATGAAGGGACAGGTGGTAGTGTTGAAGTTTTTCTTGAAGAAGACAACTGTTTGAGCTAAAGGTAGGGCTTGAGGAAAAGGTGCGGTTGTGCAGCGTAGCATATGGATGTAAATGGGGCTATAAATAACTTGAGGACGGGATTAAATATAGAACCGCAGTGGGGCTCTACCAAAAAAAACTCACTGCGGCTCATACATAGCGTTATTATTGGCACATACTATGCATGCAGAGATTACTTGAGCGTATTCCTTCCTCAAGCGTCTCCCCTTCTAAAAAACATGCTTCATCATGTTTGTTGTTCCTTTTTGAAGAACGCACCCGCCTCACTTCCAAAATGTCCGTCTTAAATTTATTTTACCTTCATCTGGCTCGATTGGGACGGAGAATAGGTCCGACGCCTTGTAAGTTGTAACACATCCACATAAAATCTTGGCGCACCAGTGTGCCGAGAGAATTTCTTTTCCCTAGCCAATTTTTGCAGTCGGCATTCGCGAGGCGATCTGATTTTACCGTTATTACTCCGCGACATCGGAGTTACATTTTCGCGTGCATTTATCTCTTTTCCATCTTCCTCCAATCTTTCCAACAAGTTCCGTGGCGGGAGAGGTCAGAGGCTTCTAAGTTCTCCCCTTGATATTGTTCTTTTATTTTCAAGGCTTTGGAAAATGGTTGCCCTCGTCTTTTGGACCCACTTTTAAAAATGACTTTCCTTTGCTAAAAAAAAAAGGAATCTTCGAGCCCGGAATTGTACGTTTTCTCTGGAGTCTGGACAAAGCACCTCAACGTGTGAATCATTGCGGAAGAACTGTGTCGGCGATAGGCGCCGCATTGTTCCAGCAGTGGCTGTGCTCAACCCTTCCAAATACGACCAACATTTTCGGTTCTGCCTTGAGGCTGCCGGGAGGAACAATGAATGACCTGCACAATACTGGCAACCCATCGAGTGCTATAAAGGAGCTGGTGAGTTGCGACTACTAGATTGTCCACGACGTCTTACGATCCTTTCCTCATCTTCAGTTACTTAGCTTGACGCTGCCCCCAGTCGCTGTGCGATATACTCTTCTTTTTTCACCCACGTCAACCTTCGACCGATCGTACAATACGCAAGATGAAGAGAACAGGCACACTCTTACCCCTTCTTTTCGCCGCCTCCACTTATGCTCATGGCATCCTTCACGCAATGACCATCAACGGCCAAAACTACCCGGGCAACGGTCTGTCAGGCAACGGTGGTACAACCATCGATAGCATTATTCGCCAAGTCTCTGCCCAAGATCCGGTTAAGGGTGCCAGCAACACGGCGCTCAGCTGTGGGACAGGCTCCCAGCCTGCTACATTGATCGCCACTGCGAATCCTGGTGATACGCTCGGTTTCAACTGGAAAGGCGCAGGTGGTGGTAACGTACGCATCCTTCAGCTTCTATCTTTCGACGACTAACCTTTTGATAGTGGCCTCACAATACCGGCCCAATGCTTACATACCTAGCCTCGTGCGGCTCAACAACAAGTGACAAGTGTGATGGGCAGTCTGCCAAATGGTTCAAGATTGACCAAGTTGGTCAGGTGTCCCCAGGCTCAACGACTTGGGCCCAAGCGGCCGTCAGTTCGTACCTTTTCTTTACCCTCACAGCAAGGAACTACATTGATTTCTCCTTCAGTGACGGGCTCTCTCGCTATGGTAAAACTCCCATCCAACCTCGCACCAGGGAACTACCTCGTCAGACACGAAATCATCTCTCTCCAGCTCGCGGTCTCCATGGGAGGCGCAGAGTTCTATCCTGCCTGTTCGCAGATCAAAGTCGGCGGATCGGGTACAGGAGTGCCCTCTGCATCCGAGTTGGTCAGCCTCCCGGGAGCGTATAGCGATTCAGACCCTGGTATCTACGATCCCAATGTGTACAACGCTGGTTCGTCATACACATTCCCCGGCCCACCAGTCGCTGCATTCGTTGGCAGCGGTGGTGGCTCGACTTCTGGAAATGGTACCACTACTTCTGGAAATGGCACAACAACCTCCACGACGACTGGCTCGGCACCCACTAAGCCGACCGCTACTAAGAGCAAGTCTTGCAAGCTGAGGCAAACGAAGTCTGCCTCTTCGTCGGCCTTGTCTGCGACGGGTGCGGCGAATGCCACTGATTTGTACCCCAGACACTTCAGCAGGATTATGCGCAAGGTTGTAGCGCGCCGCAGCATATAAATTTCGTTCTTATCTGGATATGTATATCTATACTGACGCATCTGTATTATCTGCCACTTAATTTATCTGCACATGTACACAGCTATTATAGAACGAAGAGAAATAGAGAGAATTCGATCCTTTGTCATGAATATGAACCCTCAGCCTTGATTTACAGTAACGTTACCTTGAGGCTTGAGGTCATCTAATAAAGTTAACACAACTTGACGCGCAAGCAGAGTTAAGCTCATGCCAATCGCCATCAAGTGGCGAAGGCGCCTGTTAGTAGCTTGTTGTTGTTTGTTTCGGAAGCCATCGGGACCCGCAAAGCTTTGCTTCAAGTTCATCTTGGCTTCATCGTCGTTGTTGTCAGCCAACCCGCCATGTAGAACCCGCTGGCGACTTCGCAACATGCTTGACAGTGACGAAGCCCCAAACGACTCAAGATTTACATTGGCAATTCGGGACTGGCATCGGCGGATCGGAGGCTAAGTGAACGTGCCTTGTGGGATCAGGGGTCTAATCTAATTTAACGGTTAGCCGCCAACTTGTGAGATATAAGAGGGGCTCGGGGACAGAGCAACACCGACTTGAGTGCGCCCAACATGCTTCCCCACCTGTTCACCCTCTTGGCCCTCCTTGGTTTCCATGTCGCGCTCGCGTTCCACAACGTGTCAATTGATGACAGCGACCCCTCAGTTGTCTACTCGGGGAGCTGGAATGTCGTACTCCCTGGCTATGGGATGGCCGAGAATGGCACCTACAAAATGGCCAAGAATGATTCTCAAGCGTACGCGACGGTGAAGTTTCATGGTGAGGTCTCCTTTGTTTTTGCATAGTGCTCAGCGCCACTTATTATGCATTTTGTAGGTGTGGCTGTCTACTACCTGTCACAGAAGTGGCCGTTCCCCGTTACGACAGATATCACTCTGGATGATGGACCAGCGCTGTTACTCGACCTGCAAGAGTATCGGGAAATGGGCACGATTCCAGAAGAAGAATATGGGCAGGCAGTTGTTATCGCCAGCGCGACTGGCCTTAAGAACCGAGAGCACACCGTCCGATTATCTGTTGGAATTGGGGAGCATTCCGCCGTTGTGGACACGTTAGTGTGCGTCTCTTGCTTTTCATGAGTCTCCTCGTAACTATCTTTACGCTGACCTATTTGCAATCAGTTACACCGCTCTCAACCCTTCGGATTCTTATTCGGCACCATCGTACCCTCCCACTTCATTCTCCCAGCACGCTATTACGATCACAGCGACCACTACTGCGACGCAACCGGCCGTGGTGCATCCTTCACCCACAACCGGTGTCTCCGATTCGAAATCTACCAAGACATTGAGGCTGTCAATCGGATTTGGAGTTGCCGCCGCGGTGCTTGCGTTTTTGACCGTCTTCATTGTGTGGCGATACCTCCGCCCGTTGCCCACCCCGCATACGCAAGATAAACTTGAAAACGATAACGCTTAATACCCAGCGACGACTCCCTCCACCTGCTTTTGAAGATCTTCATGATAATGATGTACGCAAAGAAACGCCCTCTCATCTTTACTTACTTACCCACATACGTTTTGTATGAGTACCTTAGATTCCAACAATCAGCTCCCTTTTTGCATAATGAAAGTCTTATCGATGATTTGCTCTTTCTTCGGAAAGTTGGTGGTTCCTGAGATCAATCCTCAGCGCTAATTAGAAGCTACCAAAAAGGGTAGAACAGCCTAGGCCTCGTGAGTGCCGCCCTCAAGACTCTATAGCTTCACGTGTTGCGTCTTGGCGTACACAGCAGGGTACAACTGTCAACATTTCCTGATCTCATAAAGAAAGATTCTTCAAGAAAAGGTGTGCATTGCATTGCTTTTCGTACCTTTGTTATACCTCAGCACAGAAAAACTACTGCCTCGGCGCCTCTATGACATATGTATATCAAAAAGGTGCCTCGTCTCCCAGAAAAGTCAACAGCGGGCTGACTGGTGGGAACTAAGCGGGAAAAGTGCCATCTATGATGTTGGTGCCATGTCAGGGTGTGACAGCAAGAGGGCTCACAAAACCTTGTATATGATGGGCGATGAGACTTTGCCGAGCTCTCGCTCCTGGGTGCCACCTCAACCATGCATCGAAGTGCCGGGATTCTGCTCTTCCTCCTTGTCCTCTGTTCTCAGCTGGTTCGAGGCATGCAGAACATAAGCATTGACGACCAGAACGCCCAGATCACCTATGTGCCCCTTGCGAATTGGACATTAACCGCGCCGGGCGCCTTTGACGCTGGAGGCGCACACATGCTCACAGAAGATTCGAATGCCTACGCGACGTTTACATTCACAGGTATGCTTTCCGTTACAGAGGTCCTGGCGACCTATTCATTAAATATCCAGGAGTCGCCATCTATTACATGTCATCGCTGTGGCCATATGTTGTCAATACGGCCATTTCGTTAGATGGAGGTGCTCCAGTCCTCTTCGATTTGCAAGACCATACCCAACCAAATGTCGGAAGTGGTCCGCCGACTGCAAAGTCGCGCATCGTCGCGAAAGCTGATGGTCTGGAAAATAAGCAACACACGGTTCGGGTATCTGTTGGAGCTGGTCAGCACTACGCTATTCTGGACATGTTGATGTGCGAATATCTCTATATCTATTTTTGCCTCTTCTCCTCTCATGGGTCCGGAACAGATACACGTCGTTAAACGCGGGAGACCCGTCACCAGCAACTTCACCGTCTCCCTCTTTCGTTCCTGTCGAGTCGAGTGCTTCTTCAACTTCTTCCAGTTCACCGTCAACTCCTTCGACGCCGTCTTCGGGTTCCTCGTCTATACCTCCCTCCTCGCCGTCTTCAAGTACGAAGGCACACCGTTTGGCCATAGGCCTTGGTATCGTTTGCACTCTCTTCGCACTTGGTTTAATGTTCCTAGCCTGGTACTGGCGCAGGTGGTACCTGCGCAATCAATCAATCCGCGGTGGTCCGGGTGAAGTCAACACCGATGGTCCCATCTATAATGGACCTGATATTCGCGAATACCCAGACGATGCCCCTCTTGGTCCGCAAAACGACAACCCTCATGGTTTACCCGTGACAGAACCAGCGGCCGCCTTTGGCCTTGGGCGACGAGATTATACAGGTTCATCTAGACGTTCAAATCTATTCCATGGGCCAGGTCGTGATCTCCAGGCCAGTCATCACGATCTCGTGCCTAGCCAATACCCGTATCATGTTGATGGCAGGGGGTTGGAGGATCTTCCCCCTCCTGCCTTTGCTAACAGTCCACCACGTGCATCCTCTGGAACTAATACGGTTACATCAGATATGCCCCATCCTTCCCTCGCCTACACGAGTTCCCCCCAAACTATATTCATGACTGACGGGATGAGCACAAATGGAACGGGGGCGCGCAACTCATATGGACTGCCGTTCCCTCAATCGTTGGCGTACGCTCCTGTAACTTAGTATCGGTCTTGACCTTTTTTTCGGGCTTACATTACCATACGTAAAATTTACGATATTAATGTCGACAATGTCCACCTGCAACAAAAATCGTCAAGTGCCGTTCAGAATTCTTGTTATCTAACGAAAGTCGAAATTTATCTGCAAAACGTGAGACCAGGCCTTCACATACCCAAAGAGATACAAAGGATAGCCAAACATGATTGTTTTCCTTCCACCATGACGTCTTCTGCTTAGTGCTTATCGAATGAAGGTTCAAAGGTTCCGTAGACCTGACAGGGGATTATATTCTCTAATCTTTCAAAGTTTGTACTTGCCCTGTTTTGTAAACGTTGACACCGCCCTGACAGCGACATAGCCGTCAGTGAATCTAGAACGCACCTTCGCGTGATGTAAAGAGGGGGGCGCTGACATCAGGAACGGAAGAAAGCTCTGAAGGACTGAAAGACAGGCCAGCGCCTTTTCGCGGGTCGGGCAGATATATAATACACGCTCTTGTCCACTTTTCAACAACTTTTCTACCACCATCACTTTCGTCGCTCAGGGCAAGCTCACAATGCGGATACTAGCTGTCTTAACGTCAACATTTTTCCTATGGAGCTCTTCTTGCATCGCGCTTTTCGTGGTTACGCCGAGCGCTTCCAACGGCTGGACAAATCAAGGGCCACAAACGTCAGTGCAATTCTTGCCTTATCCACATCATGTTTGGTTGACCAAGGCTTTCTTCATCCCCAGCGTCTCCTGGCAGAGAGTCATCACTGACCCTCTCGATTTCGCCATTATTCTCACAAACCAAGTAAGTGCGCAGACATCTTCACATACCTCCATTTTTCGACCGTTAAATGACTTTATTATCTAGAACCGCAGCTTATTTCCGAGTGATCAAACACTCTCCCTCCTTATTGATAGCAACCTCCTCACAGCGAGTATTTCTCCTCCAGCTGGCGGATGGCCTACACCTGGTGCAGTTTACCGAGTAAATCTTGTTTTGAGCGCAAATTACCCCAACACGATTTACGCTCAATCGAACGAATTCACGATCTTTCAAGCGGGGTCCACGACTACTAGTATTACCGGCTCCACGTCGCCATCACTGTCAACTCCATCTTCGTTACTATCAATTCCATCTTCGTCGTCGACCCATCCTCCCGTTTCGCCGGCTTCTCCAGTCGACCAATCTGTCTCGTCTTCCAAACGAAAACTCCACAATGTCGCCATTGCCCTTGGTGTTGTCTGCACCATTCTGGCACTGTGCATAGTAGGCTTGGCTGCAATGTGGTATCGTCGACACCGAGCCAGTCAGCACTTCCCAGGCACGGATCCCAGTCAGATTTTTCCTGGTGAAGTAAATTCAAACCCGACCATTGAGGCCGTTCCTCTTAGCAAATCTATAATCGACGCCACTACTCCTCAGGATTTGGGGAATAATTATGAACGCGGTATTGCAAGATATAGGGACTCTCCTGATAGCATGGCATCTCCCCTAGATGGCAGCCGCGATAATTTACAAACGTCATATCGCCTTAACGCGCAGGGGCTTGACGTACCCCCTCCCTCTCTCGCCCATAAAACTTCACCCAGTGCAGCGTTCGCGTCCAATGGTAGCAACCTGGCATCAACTGACGTCTCCCGCCCTGCCGAATTTCTGAGTCGCCCGGCACAGGGATCACCATCGCGCTCTCCGTTTGCGACTGACGGAATGAGGTAGCGAGAACAATTGGATTAGCGTGACAGCTGTCTGATTCCTTCAATCATAATGTTGCTTTATTCAAACGACAAATATTTTTTTCCGCCTCTGTACACTGGGGACCCAAAAGATAATTAAATAACCATGGTACTTATTGTCTACACCCTTGAAAAGTCTCCCGAACGTTCTCCAACTAAAAAGAGACGCTGACCCCCACCCGAGTCGAACGGATGACCTTGAGGAAACCAAAGCTATCCCCATGAATATAAGACTGGAATCTCACGCTCTAATCCACTGAGCTAGGGGGCCGATGCTGTCATGATAGATCACAAACGGAAGCTATAGTTGAGAAGAACTGCATCTCAGCCTTATAAGACCGCTTGAAAGGCTAATCTCCATCTATTTCTAGCTGTGGCTAAGTGCGAGTCAAAATTTGAAATGGATGCTCGTGTTGTCCAAATAAGAAGGTACTAGCAATTATTTTCAAGGCACTAGTAATTACGAATGAAGAGAGGGGAAATTTTGCACTGGTTGAAAGAAAAAAGTTAAGCTTGATAAAAAATGTAGATGGAAACAAAAATCAAGGAAGAGTCTTGCAAACGACATTCGCATCCCATGACTCCGAATTGACGCCCTTGTAAACAATGAACAAGTCATTAGGGTCGATTATCTTCTTCAGAGCGAGGAGTCGGGGGTAGTGTCTGCCCCAATAAGCACCTTGCCAGTCTACCTCAAGGTCATCGGGCTACGAACGATATTATCAAAGAGTGGATGATCAAAGACATACAAGCACTCACCTCGTTAATGTATTGACCACCGAGAGGGACGGGGGCCAATGCGCGCAAGGGCTGGATTTGATCATAGACGCCCTGCTTGATAGCTTGAATCTCCGCAACCGTGGCATTCTCTGCCCATGCGTTCGCAATGGTCATGTCGCTGATGGTGGTACGCCAGGCGGGGGTGACTGCAGCAGAGTCTGGGTCGCCTTGAGCAACAGCTCCTCCTCCAACCAGGCTATGGCAACAAATAAGTACTTGTGGGTTACAGTCACATATGGAAAACATACAAGGGACGGCTAGCGGGAATTCCCATCCACGCCTCAGCAAGCGCAGTCGCGTTATTGTCGAATACGTCACGAGGAATGAGCCACGAAGAGACGGTGATGCGCAGGCCGCCGGCGTCTCCAACAGTGTAATTAAAGCCAAAGCCATTCGTGCTGTTAATAAAGTTGTTGTAGTACCAGTCTTCAAAGTCGCTGTATACGATTTGTTTGTTCAGGGTAATATTCACGCCCGGGATGGCGGCTGAATCACTGATGAAGGATTGCAAGGTCGAATTCGCCGTGGTGTTGAAGGTAGGAGCCCCTTGAGCGATGAGGGTCAAATACAGGGTTTGGTCTTGGAACGGCCAGAAACCAGCCCATCCAGAGTCAGCGATGCTGTTGTGATGTTTGTTAAAGGTTTCAAGGAGCTGGAAGTATGATGAATTCGAGCTCGCAGTGGCAGCGTAGAAGGCAGCGGTATACGGAGGATTGGGGTGAGTCCTAAAAGTGGTTTTCAACACGACCCCGAAATTGGGTCCTCCGCCGCCGCGAAGAGCCCAGAATAAGTCGGGATATTGATACTGATTCGTGACGACAAAAGAAGCGTTAGGGAGGACGACGGAGAATTGGAGGACGTTGTCGACACCTTTATTGATAATCAATAAAATGAACCAGAAAACTCGTTAAAGCTTACCAAGACCGTAGTAAGGAGACAAAATGCTATGGCCGCCGCCCAAGGGCCATCCGGCGCCCGCACCGACAGTTCCGCCTGCGCCAATACCTCCAGCAACGGTACGGTTGTTCTGGGAAGCGAGACTGTACAAGGTACCCCACTGAACGCCAGAATCGATGGTTACGGCTGAGGAATAATGTCAGATATCGCTGTGGACGAAGGGATGCTACGTTACACACCACTTTGGCCAGCGGTGCCACTGGGAGCACCTTCCGGCACAAACGAGTCGGTGAACGTGTAATCTTGGAGATTATGCATGAAGAGTTCGACGGAACCGTAACCGAACATGCGACCCAAATTCTCATGACTATCGCGTGTTTCGTCAGCAGCAAGTAGAGAGAGCGGAGATGAGTGGCTTACCCGTTGTTCTTGACGACCAAGTGTAAGTTGTGAGTGGTGGCAAACCTGATAGTGTGCTGTACGTCGGCAACAGTGCTAACGTTGATTGAGTACGAGGGCACTCGTCCTTGGTAGCAAGTGGCATCTGGTTGGGGGTCAAAGACACACTGCTGGACGGTGTCGTTGGCCACGAGTTCCATATAATTCGTCCATTGGATACCGTTAGGGCTTGCCGCTAGGAAGGTATGACTGAATTGTTGGGCTGTGACGGCGGCGCAAGCTTGCGGGTCATATGCCGGAGACGTTTTGTGGCAGGGAGCGCCAAGGGGCAATTGGTTCGAAACAAGTGGCTGGCTTAGATTTTTGGCAAATGAGGCCCAGGTATCAGGACTGGGGAAAGAAGGGTCGCCAGGCAAAGTCTTGCATTTTTGCCATGCAATTGCTGCGTTGACAAGTAGAAGGAGGAGAAGCAACCTTGTCGACATGTTCACGAAAGATAGGCGAACAGAGGCGAGCTGATTTTACCCAGGAGACGAAGTCCCAGCATTTATACATCTAGCTTTCCCGACATCTTCGTAGCCGCAACTCGGCGTCCATTGCAATGATACCCATGGGCCAAGTGTCGCCTGAGTTGGGAACGGCAAGAGATAGTCATCAAAACAAATCAAGTTAGAATGCAGTCGGCTGATATCATCCCTACGGCCGTGGGAATCCCGCCTATACGCGTCACCCAAGAATAGGACTTTTCAATTCCACTCACTTCATGGATCGCCCAAATCGCTGTCATTTTTGCGGATCTCTTACAACCCTCACGAATTATATGGGACACCTGCTCAAACTTTCGCAACAAATGCTCCTCCCTGTCTCGCAAGAGCGCCCAGGTGCTCGGCAAGCACCCCTCCCAACCACTCCGATTGTTATACGCTGCGCTCACTCGGAGTAGCAATGCTGTACTCGGATCTATATCTCCAAGGAGGATCGGCCATGATCGACGACGCGGTAAGCTCGGTTAACACCTTTCGCACTGTTTGAGAAATCATAATCATTTGCCGTTGGTACAGAGCATTCGACTTTGGCGACATCTTTGACCCACATGCAAGTCATCTGGTTCTTGAAGCAGTCGCGGCTAAGTATTAAAGTAGCCCACCTGTGGTGAGTGGCAATTGAAGTCGTAACCCTTCTCCAATATGTTCGTGGCATTTGACATCATTCCGATAGTCACCACTGTCGCGATTCTGGCCGCCCTGTTTATTAATAAATTACTTACGCCCCCGCCAGAACTTCGCCATCTGCCTCGCGTTTCCGTTCTACCTCTCCTCTGGAGCTACATTACCGGTGAAGTAGAGGACGCGCGCATCAAAAGGCTCATTGTTCCCTTCGCAAACAAGGCGGACGAAGGGGTCGTCCTTGTTTACGCTCTCGGAAGATGGATAGTCCACGTACTCGATCACAAGGTATTTATCAATTTGAAATTTGAAACGCAATTAATTGGTCCTAGATCGCGAAAGACATATCAGCGGACGCTGTAACTTGGCCCAAAGAGGAACCCCCCGGTATGAACGCTTTTACCTACACCTTTTGTTACAAGCTGATTCATGAATAGATGAAATGTTGCTATGGCGATTTGTTGGCCGCACTAATGTCATCCTTTCTAACGGCGTTAACTGGCAACGGCACTCCCGCGTTGTCAAATCCGCACTGAATCGAAATGTGCCTATTGAGAAGTTTGCTTCGCTCACCAAAAGACTCTTCTCCGTCATGGGCGACGGCGGACGTCTCCGTTTCGACGATCTGACAATGGTGAGGGCTGCTTTGATCATGATTTGCGCAATCAAAAGTCTTGACATGTTTACTATTTCTCTCTCAGCGCTTTACGCTAGACGCAGTTGGTAAGTGACTTTTAGCACAACACTAACAGAGGCAAGCCGATTCATTTTGTGCCTCCTATCAGGCACAACCGCTCTTGGACATGACTTCAACACCATCGTCGACAATCACAGTCCCTTCGTGGCGAAATATAACGAGGTCATGGACAGCATTGCTTCACCGTTGTACGTCAACAGTTTTCTACGCACATCTCTGGTCTCTCATTCGAAACCCTCCCAGATTTTTGGTATTCCCAAAACTCGAAACCTGGTTCCCCCGCAAGCACGTCATTCGTAAGATCGACGATCTCGTGAATGACTTCGGCAAACTTCTAGAGGACAAAAAACAACGTCCCGGCAATGACATGCTCACCTATATGCTTGAGGAGGTGCGTTAACGCCAGTTCATGAGCATGACCATTTTTGGCTGACTCTCTTCATGTATAGCCGGAGATGACCGACGAAGAGTTCCGGGATAACATGGTCGTCTTCTTCATAGCCGGGCATGTAAGTATTGCAACGTTTGTATACTCTACCATCATTGATCAAGGTTTGAAAAGGACACGACTGCGGGCGCAATGTCGAGTTTCGTTTATTACCTTTCGAAACACCCAGAGGCACAGGTTCGCGCTAGAAAAGAAGTCGTTGCGGCTCTGGGAAAAGATGAACCTAACATCGAAAATCTGCGTCACATGCCTTTCCTTCAAGCTTGCATCCGAGAGTCCCTCCGGATCAACACCCCCATTGTGAGTTGTTTGTCGTTAATGGTCATTTTATCACCAATATTGAGGGCTATTATTCCAGACCTATGTCGTCCCTCGTTCCTCCGAACGGTCTGTCCTGCTCAAAGGTTCTAACGGAAAGTCCTATCACATTCCAGCTAAGGCATCTGTGATCATGAATATTTGTGCCATCCACTACAACGAAACTTATTGGCCGAATCCGTACAAATTCGACCCTACAAGATTCATGAACCAAGGCGATGGTGAAGAGGCGCGAATCGACGCCAGTCTTTGGCTGTACGTCGTCCTTCATGACTGTCGAAAATTATTTTCGATCTTTGCCTGTAACAGACCATTTGCCCTTGGCCCCAGGCAATGTCCTGCAAGGAACTTTGCCATGTACGAGCTGAGGACCTTGGCGTCGATGTTGCTTCAACAATGGGAATGGAATCTTCCAGCTGACTCGCCTCATCATGACAGCATCAAGAATGGTTTCTCTCCATTCGCATTGAGTCTGCCTAAAGATATGGATATTATTTTCCGCAGGGTTGAGCAGTAACTTACATGTTCCCTGTCGTACGCGTGTCTTTGAATCTAACTATCCCGACGTTATTTACACTGGCCGAATGAAATTTAGATAACTTTTTTCCTCCTTTCAAACCAACGATCAGCGCGACCTTTGAAGAGTTGTACGCAACCACGCAAATTCCAAGTTATACTTTCATTCATTTTTGAAAATCTCGGAGAGAGGTTCATATGTCAAGTCCACTAATGATAGTAAATTGGAATTTACAATGAGCTTCTGCAGTACAATTGTTGAGCGCTTTGCAAAATCCGTGATTGCTCGGATACGGTAACTTTAAAAAAATTCGTCTCGTTCTACTTGTGAGAGATTGACGGGGCTCAAAATTCGGCGGTTTTCTATACTCTTCATTTGAAGAGAAACTAAGTACTTACATGAGAGATTTGAATGATGAATTACTCCGTTTTGTATATCATATTGTGAATCCTCAGGCCAGAAATTACCATTGAGCTTGGGAAACGATAGCACGGGGTTGACTCAAGGTACTACACCTTGCTAGAGATTCAAAGCCCCTGTTTTCGATTATCGACGCTGCTTTGGTCTGTTTGTTTCACCAGGTACCGGAGAACACCGGAGCAAACTCAAGTAATCACTTGGTCCTGAACATCAACACAGATTCTAACCTGCTCTACGCGCCACTAAGATTCCGAAGTTTAGCGAGCAGATGGTACAAGGCGTTTCAAAGAACATGTCCACGGCCGTATCAATATTGCTAGCGCGGGTCTGTGATGATTCTCTGACTCTCAGTACCCCGAGTGACTCTGTGGTCCTTTGCTGAAGCACACGGATTTGCGTGCATATCCACGCTCAGACCGACAGGGTAGATTGGTGTCGAAGCACCTTACGCTAGCTCTGCCCGAACAAAGCCCTGGCTCCGAGTTTGCTGCGGTCGGAAGTTACAATCGGACTTAATCTTAAGATCGTGTTCAAGATAATCGAGATACGCAAATCCCTAATGTCTGGCGCGGAAACATATATCTTGGGGGGGAACTTCGATATTCTGAGCATCTGCGTCCTTCGTTGATCCCCATTCGAAATGCCGCTGTCCTCTATACCTGCGACCACACTCACGGTCCTCGCGTTGGGGCTGCTCACCTTTCTAATCAAACAATTTGTTTTCCCTTTGTATAAACGTTGCGCGGCAATAGGCCACATTGCTGGGCCACCCTGCGACAACATATGGACTGGTGAGGAAGCTTGGCCTCAATCATCCACTCTGGCTCATCTTCATACAGGCAATTGGCATCAACTCTTTCATAAGAACGCTTGGCAATTCAAAAAGAGCATTCAGGAGACTTACGGTGGTGTTTTGAAGATAAATGCCCTCTTCGGGGTTCGTACGCTTTTTCCTTGTTCATCTTTTTTCGACGACACGAATTTTTTGAACACTGCAGGACCAGCAATTATACATTACTGATCCCTTGGCAATAACTGCCATCTTTCAGGCAGATCGCCCCAGCTATGAAACGAACGCATATCACTTGCTGTAAGTCTTGCCACACGTGTGCTACATCAAGAACTAACATCTTGTAGTCGTAGCCGTTTGTCCTTCGGTTATGGTTTGGTAGGAACCACAGGTATTTCAACCGGTAACGCCTGAAATTTGCATCCGTTTAATATTGATACAGGCGCTAAGCATTTGAAGCAACGCCGATTGATGGCCCCGTACTTCGCATCGAAATACTTGCGCACATTGTTGCCCGTGTTCTATCCATTTGCTTACGAGGTAGGTGTCCATCCTGTTTCGGTATACTGCAATCATATAGCGTGTTTGACGACAGCTCTGTGATGATATCGAAAAGAAGATCAAAAAATATGACGGCGTCATCAATATGCATCGCATGATGTCTATTGCCGCCCTTGAGTATGTTGGCACCGGTCTCGGGTATCGCTTCGATGGGTTGAACGAAAGCAAGCCGAATGAATATAACGATGCCGCCAAAGCTTTGAAGTATTTTACCGATTTTATGCCTCTATTTTAACCCGTTCATCCCCTTGTTCAGCCCCCTTACTTTCAAACTCTCTACCTACCGTGCCTTTCTGCCCTACTGGGTTCAACTCGGCCCCGCCTGGTTCCGCAAGAGATTGGTTGATTGGGTTCCCTGGCCTGACTTGCACCGAGTGAAGGCAGTCATCTACAGAATGGACGACATTGCTCAAGACATTCTTCAAACCAGAAAACAGGCCTTCGCCGACGGTGAGAGTTACGGACGCGATATCTTGAGTGCTATTAGTGGGTCCGTTGCATTATCTCGAAGGTCGTTAAGTTGATGTTCGCCCCAAGTGCGCTACAACGACGAGGCCGAAGACGATGAGAAGATCGACAAGGATGAGATCATTAGCCATATCACGTAAATGCACCATAAGTGAAAGCTTGCGGAACTTCGCTGACTTCTCTTGCCTCCGTAGGACGACTCTTTTCGCAGGTCATGAGACAACTGCTGGGGTGCTTTCCAGAATCATACATCAACTCTCCCTTCACCACGATGCTCAAGAAAGACTCCGCGAAGAGGTGACTAAGGCTCGTGAAGCTAAAGGTGACTTGGAGTTTGAAGACTTGCTGGAGCTGCCTTACCTCGACGCCATCTGTAAGGAGACCCTTCGAGTGTGAGTAGCTGTTTCCACTTGTTCGTTCGCCAAACAAGTACTCAACGACATCCAGTTACCCCCCTGTAGATCAGCTCTACCGAACGTAAGTTTCCATATTCATTATGTTTTCTTCATTTCTCACCCTCTCACCAGTTCTGTCAAGCCGACTGTCATCCCTATTTTATATCCTATCCAATCCACAGATGGAAAGGAGCTTCGCGAAATTGCCATAGAACCAGGAACTGATACGATTGTATCCATCGTCGGTTATAACCGCAACAAAAGCGTTTGGGGTGCAGATGCTGAGGAGTGGATTCCTGAACGTTGGTTGGAACCTTTGCGTACCAGCGTCCTCCAAGCCAAACTTCCGGCCGTGTTTTCTCACATGTACGCCACCCCTCCGATGTCGTCGTCCTGATTTTTGTATTGACGACGCTTCCTTGCAGGATGACTTTCACTCTTGGCGAGAGGGCTTGCATGTAAGTCACCCGCCTTGCCAATGTTTTTTTTTACAATTCTCTAATTACAATTCTACAGTGGTTACAAGTTCGCAGAGATGGAAATGAGTACGTGAAGCCTGCGGAACTTGCGTGTGTTTTGTTAACCATATCCGTGCAGAGCTCATCTTGTCGGTTCTTTTGTCGAGATTCAGGTTCTCCATCGACCCCAAGAACGAGATTTTCTGGAACATGGGTGGAAGTATCACCCCGATTGTCAAGGATTCGGGCCAGATTGAACCTACCCTGCCCATCAGAGTCAGCGTCTTGCCAAAAGCCACTGCTTGATCGACGAAGACGCCGTATTCAAATTACTAGTAGACGTATCGCAATTTGCCTTCTTTGTATTTCATACAAAATAACTATTGCAAATTGCTTTACCAACTCCCATGTTGATTGTAGTGAGCCTGCGACTCAGTAACACAAGACATTTTCCGGGCTGCATACTCTGTGCGCGGAAGTCCAACAAGACTTGAGCAGATCCTCCGGGTAAATTCTTTTTGCAATGCTAGAGACAATCCAGTGCGGTTTCCGAACTCCTGTTAACGTTTAGGACAGCTTAGGCCATGGCAATCACACGCTCTAGTACTTACCCCCAACCGGTACCCCAGCCTCACATGCGCGAAACCTGCCATCAGCCGAGACCCACTCTACCACCGCACAATTGAATCGCTAAGTATTCTTAGTTTTAATGGTTCCCTTTGTTAACCCTGGGGCGTAAGTCATGACCGTGACGCCGGTTATTTCGAAAAGTGCTACTAGTAGCGATATGTCAAGTCGCATATCCACTCCCTTCGCATCTCGATCTCGAGTGACTCGGCATTGGCATGATGTTAGATCGGAATTCTAGACGGCTAGTGGACAAGCTGATGCCCTTCTTGAAGTTCTTCTGATACGGAACTGGAGCTCAATTGAGTCAACATATGAAGCCGCTTGTCATGATCACTGAATACCTTCCTCACCGACCGGTCACCCTCGTGAAAATCGACATATTTGGCTATCAAAAGAAAATCATTCTGGATCCATCTGGAATATCAGCTTCCATGCTTTGCCGAGCGGTGTGCACATTATATGAGGTGGTGCTCAAAGGTCGAAGATAAGGCGTTCAAATCAGCTTAGTCTTCTCCTTCATTCATCGGCAGCTAAGATCACCCCCACTCAAAATCGTCGGTTTGTGTGAGGGCCCACTTCATACTCATGTAAAGTGATCAAATTGTGTATGTATAGTCAAGATACAGTCTCCAATTGCGCAAAAAGAACAGCTAGATGGCCTTGATTCTCATCGGGACTTTCGGACCCTCGCCCACTTTACCCTTGACATAAGGCACGACTGTGATACCAAGGCGCCATTCGATTTCTTCGGTAACCGCTTCAAACGAGAAGTGGGGCAGGATAACGGACAACACCAGTTCTGATTAATGCATGCTTTTAGTCGGATCGCGTTGCACGAGTGAGAGGAAGTAACTGACTGATTTCTAGCAAAGCGAACTTCATTCCACTGAGAGAAAGACAAAGATTCAAAATCAGCAAATATCATGGGTTCACAACCAGATAAGCCACTTACGGGCATGCTCTACCGCCGCCCAAGAATGTCATGCTAAAAAGGGGACATAATCGAGTTCAATCAATTCTTAATGGATGATGAGATAGCCACTCACGCATTGGAAAAGATACCGGGCATCTTTACACTGTTCGCGGTACCATCCAACACTGCTTTCCCGAGCCACCGTTCAGGCTTAAGTTCACTGGCGTCAGGTCCCCAAATCGCAGCGGATCGGTTGGCGGCGCCCAATCCAACGTACACCGAGGTCCCCTTTGTGATGAGGAGCTCCTTGGTTTCTACACCAGTCTTGGGGTCGCGGATGGGGAAATGGAGAGGGACGACGCAATCTTCAATCGTCCTGAGGCGACGCGCGTAATATTTAGAGATGTAACTTTCGATTGTTGGATGGACCAACGACTTACTGTCTCCATACGAAGGTAACCGGCGCGAAGAGACGGAGGGCTTCACGGCACACCGCATCTAGCAGAGGGAGCTCATTTAATTCATTGTAGTTGAACCCTTCATCGCCCTTGGCCTATACGATGAAGCGGGTCAACATAGTTTGTTCTGGAAATAAATTTAATATAGCTTACAGCATGAGCGTCGAGGAGTTCTTTGCGCAGACGATTTTGCATGTCATTGTCGTTGGCCATCAAGCACAGGAGCCGAGACAGTGCGCCTGATGTCGTTTCTTGTCCTCCAAGGACAATGGAGCTGCAAGAGGGTTCAAAACAGCTTTATATCCCGAGGACGTCAAGCAAACCTCATGTTAGCGATAACAACCTCATCGGGCATTCTATCGTCGTCGTCCGCAAGCTGATTGGCGCTGACTGAAATGGGAAAATATTAAAATATGAAGGGGTGTCGTCGAAGGCTAGACGTACTGAGGAGGGTTGCAAGGTCTTTACCGCCTGAGGTCGTTTTTTCGAGCTCAGATATTCCGCCTTCATCCAAAACCTTCTTCTTCTGCTTGAAGAGATTCGCGCAGACCGGATGCATGGTGTCAACTCCCCATTTAAACTTTTAAACGCGCATGAAGTTGACATTGATCCTTCGTACAAGCTGAAAGGAAGGCTCACCTTGCGAGCGGCAGGCCATGGTAAATAGTAAACTGCATTGGATAAGAATCTGCGCAACCAAAGGGGCTCCAATTTCCTCCATGATTCCAAATAAGGAAGAACAAAGAATATTCTGCCAGCCATTGGGCTTTCGTAGCGGGGTCAGATCGACACCGAAACACCTGAAGAGAGCAGCAGTAACTCACAGCACAGTTTTCAAAGCCTCGTGAAACTCGGTGAATTCACGACTGTTTTTGTCAAAGGAGTTGAAACTGTGGCCAAGCCCTCCCTGAGAAATGAGCTCGAGAGCGGTTCTAGTCAGATAGTCGAGGATGTCGATGACCCGGCCGTCCTTGGCATTACCGACGTCCGCCTTGAGTTTGTCTCGCAGCTGGAATTGCAATATACTCAGCGAGCGGTAGAGCCCAAGGAGATGACAATCAACCCACCTGATGAGCAATCTTGTAGAAAACTGGAGAGAGCTTAGATACGAAGGAAGCGGTAAAGACAGGATTCATTAGGCGACGCTGTTTCTTGTGTTCAGCGCCTGTAGCTCGGTTAGATACTACTACTTCTCGAATGGTGTGATCGACGACAAACCATATACTGATGCAAGACCATCACCATGATGGATAACACCAAAGAGACTGTAAATAGTGATCAATTTTCAACGTTTACAAGAGCTTAGAAAATCTGACCCAGAGAATTCCACAGATTCACGGAAGTTATTTTGATTACGGACGAGAATGGCATTAAGAGCAGCGGGATCAGTGACGTAGAGACCATCAGCTTGAAGCTGTCATCGGGAACATCAAACATGTTTTCGATCGCCACAACGAATGAAAAACGTACACCGAACATGCCGCCCCTCAATCTGGCGACATGACCATACTTCTCGCACATGGTATAGTGATAATCGTCGAGTGACGTCTCGCCATGCATGTCGGGTAGGTATCCTGAAAGTGCACATGGTCAGCAATGTTTCACGAAATTGGCGAAGCTCGCAGCGTGAAGTCTGACTCACCAAGGTTGGTCTTGTTAATGGGACCAGGTATGTGGTCATAGGGACCTTTCTGGCGAGCGCGAGTGACTATCGAGATCAGGACGATCGTGGCTACCGCGATGCCAGATGCCAGAAGAGGTCCGGGGAGGTAGCCCACCGTAGGTGCTACCCCGTCGATGAAAGAGCCATTTGTGCCCACAACGGGTGGTGCCCTAAAGAACGAACTGATGACCGACATTTTGGACGGGGCCAAGTTCTAGCGACTTGGAATTCTCGCTCATGATAAACCGAATGCTTTAAACTGGGAGCGATTATCCAGGGGTTCGGTAACCGGAATCCGCAGGCATTCCCGTTCTGAATTCTGGTTGGTGTGAAGAGATGGCCGCGGACATTGGTTGAGAGGTAGTGATGGTTCTTACCTGGGTTAGTCCGACGTGCTCCGCCAGTTGAGCAATTCAGTTATCACGTGATGTTCATCTCCTCTTGAACGATCTTCACACTTCATTGCTATGTACTTGAAGCGCTGCAACCCTCTTGGAGTGATTCATTAAGGTAGTTATACAACTTTGAAACCCATAATGTTATGATGCTCACTTATTGTTCAGTGTGTCATGTTTAGAAATTACTCAGGAGATTCCATTACTATGATAGACGACATAAGGTCGATCGAATTGCGATCCAATTACTAATTAGAGTCTTCGACCCACTTCGCATTCCTTACCTAGCATTACCTCAGTATTTTTACCCGTGGATGGCAGCCGAAACCCAGGACCAGGGAGGTCTTCCAGGGATTTGGTACCACTTTGTCTGTCCGGTAACTTGAAGGCCATATATTAAGGCCGCTACTTGTCGTATTCAAGTTTGACTCTTACTTTGCAGTGTTCAAGCGCAGAAAATCATGGCAGCAATCGAAATCATAGCCTTTGCAAATTTTCGCGAGGCTTCCAACTTGGATGATCTGATTCGAGGTCTACCAAACATCGCAGCGTTCGTGCACCTCAGTGTTTCAGTGCTATCTACGGAAGTTCACTTTGCTCTGCTGCAGTGTCTATTCCGGATTCCAAATTGAAGATGCCACTCAGGGCTATCTCGTCTTCCGCAAGTTGTATTCCATTAATCAATCTATTTATTCAACTTTTTTGTCTCCGGTTCAATAGATTGGAACTCCCTGCAAGACCTGCACTCAGGCCGCGCAACTACTGCTTATGAGACGCTTTTAAAATTATCGGGGGACAGCGTAGTCAACGCCTTCGTCGTTGCCAATCCCAAACCCGCCGAAAACATCCCAATTGTTCTCGGAACTCCCGTATCTGAGTTCGCTGTTGCGAAACTCATATTGGAGGAGAACCGGGATAAATGGGAGGCGTGCTTGAAGGCAACCTTGGATGGCATTAAGATCACGAAGGGAGCTGCGGCCGGAATTCACGCTACCGAGGAGAAGGACGCCAACACTTATGTGTTTGTGATAGGTTGGTCCTCCATCGAGGTATGGTTTTCCGTGTGTTTGTCAGTTGCCACTCTGACTCCCGACCGGCTGCCCACAGGAACACCGCGCGGCTTTCGACCACGCGTACGCCAGCGATATCTATCGCGATACAATCACTCTCACAGATTTCGCCGCCAAACACGCAAGGTTAAAACAACGGTTGTAATTTTCAATGTGTCCATCGCGGTGTCAGTCACGTTCAATGCGAAGATCGTTTTTACCGAGTCATGGCCCCTTCCAAAGTTACCATATTTATTTCGACTTTGTAGTGCCAGCCCGACGCTTTGTCGTTTAGTGAGATCGTAGTCAACGTCATATTTCTGTGTATGCCTGGAAATAAATCAAGAAATACCTAGGTCCCAAATGTCACCGGTCAGAGAAAAGCCTTAGAAGAAGTCAACACCGGAAAAATCGATTTACTATACCAGCCGTCTGTAATCATCATTTCTATGGCGGCAGTAATTTTAGGCAAGAGGGCGTCAGATTTGGGGAAGGCCAGTCCCAAGTTTTACCGAACCTCGAGGCTAACCTGGGGAGAGTCCACGGTGAACAAGCCAAGTATATGATACTACAACTCAGACGCCAAGGATGGGAGATATTCAATAATGTGATTACTGGACAGCGAGCTTTTGTTGTTTCGTCATTTTCAAACTTGAAATTTATCCGAAGTAAAGGGGAAAAGAAAAAGTATTAAGAACTAAGTTGGTGCTCACCGCCATCTGTGCGATAGCATGATTGGATGGTGCAGACCCGGGTCGATGAGGCTTTGTCTCAGCTTTGCTTAACTTTCAGGCTTGTGTGAAGTAGCTTCTAATGGAGTAGTTTCAAGTTTGCGCAATGATGGAAAATTCTATTTCGGGCGTCCTCTCGAGGGAGGAGCAGGTATTAATTAATTGCGTCTATGAAGGAGAGATATAGGAATTTCAGAGTCCGAAAATTGCTAGAGTGCAGCGGGGGGTGTTAGGAAAGGTTTGTATCATGCAATGACCCCTCAATAACCCTCCGAAAGCGCAACCGGCTTTCCCGCAGATCTTTGAAGGGCCTCGATAGCGATGGCAGTCGTCAGGCCTCTATTGGCGATCTTGATGTCAGCCGATCCGTACTTGTAGAACCATCCATCGTTCCATCCACCGTCAATTTGTTGCAACGCCAGGAGTCTCTCCACATCAACCGCCGCATCGAGACCAACTTCGTTGCTGCAGTGTACTCGCATGGCCAATGCGAGCGCATCTCCTGTAGTACCAATGCGTTCTGCGACACGCTCCTTGAACAAAGCTCCAAATTGTCGCCGAACGGAAGGTGATGCGGCGAGAAGCCTTGTCATGAAACTGGAGGGTAGCGGAAGATGTCAGTTGAGGCAAAAATTGGCGTGTTTGAACTCACAAGAGGAAAGTCTCGGCGCCCTCATAGTAGCGAGTGCCTTCGAGGTAAGCACGGTTTTCCAAGACGGAGTAGACCCAATCGAGCGTATCGTCAAGCTCGTGGCCCCGTCCGTTGGAATAGAAAAGCGTGAGGATGTTAACACACACAACGGGGTCCAACCTGGGTCGCCTGTCGTCGAAGTAGACCTGAAGAACGTTGTCGGCGTTGCGGTATTGCAACATCGAATCCATGACTCTCGACTTCGTGGAGGCGTCGATATTTGGGGCAATCGTGAGACCGATTGAAGTGGTATCGAGATCGGATGGAAATTCGTGAGTGGTGAGCTCTCCATGACCTTGGAAGAAGTTGAAAGCGCCGTCGTACGTAATGTACTCAACGAGGGAAGGGTTGCGAGTAGATTCAAGGATCAGAAGCTGTGCAAAATTTTCCCGAATCACTTGGCCAGTGGAAGTGTATGAAAGGTGGCGACCGGCATTGTTGATAAGGAATTGTTTCGCCCTGGAGATGGGGTTACTGCACAAGTTACGAAGGGCCCTTTCAACGTTTTCGAAGGTGTCGTAGAGAATAGTGGTGATGCCGAGGGATCGAGCTGTGACAAGATTCTCAAGCTTGTCATCGACGAAGATGGTGCGTTTTGGATCAGCGCCTGTGACTTTTAGAACGTGGCGGTAGTACCCAAGGTTGGGTTTGCGCTCGCCAGCAGCAGCTGACGTAAAAACACCGTCGAAAATATCCCAATCTGCCCCCTTGGTCCTCAAGACCTCCCAATCAGGTGCCGAAATGTTGGACATGGCGTATACCCTGCGCCCTGGCTTCAGCTCCCTGATCAAGTCCACCATAAATGACCGGCTGGTGAGTGAGTCGCGAGCGCCCTGGAACGCTTGTTTAACTTCCTCTGCTTCAAGTCCGAATTCGCGAGCCACAGTGGCGTAGCTCTCAGCTTCGGAGATCTTTCCCTTCTCGAACTCGAACCATGTAGCCGTTTGAAGAATCTTGTGCAGGGTTTTCGGCGAAATGGTGGTTTTCGTTTCCGCTGACCAGGTAAAAAGAACGTCTCCGATATCAAAGATGAGGGTGTCGTATGCGTGTTGGTTGGCTTTAGCGATAGTCATCCTATGAACGGTTAGTTGAGAGGAGGGCGGGGGATGCGTAGGACTCACTTGTATTCAAGGGCGGTAATTGTAATTTATCCAAAGGCGTCTTTCGTCCCTTTTATATATGAATACTGAGCATTTCTGTGGCATCGAAGGAACGGAAAATTTCCCGGCTGCCTCGATCGTGTTTCGAAGTCTGCTCCAAACCCTGCTCTCGGTCGGTCCCGCTGTAGAGCGGGAGTGACAACATTCCTGCAATTGGGACATTGAAAGGGTAGCCGTCTGAGGATGCACACAGAGATCTGCTCCAAGAGTCACTTGTGCGGTGAAGGAAGAAACAAAGAAAGGTGAGCAATCGGTGATGGCGATCGATATCACGTGATTTATTGAATCCAAGTGCTCATCTTTGCGGATTGTGAAGGGCCATGATTTTCAGGCTTTCGGCTTTATCTCATGTGTGGATTAACCCCAGTTAACTTGAGCAGATCTTTCATTCATTCGCGCCCCAAAGAAACGATTTTTGGGTTTGGTTCTGAGTCGGGCTGCATTGCCTGCAACTTGAGGGCGTTTTCATGGTTAGTCAGGCGCGAATGAGTTACGCTGGCGCTGTTTACCTCGTAATTTATCAGAGATAACTATAGTGAACAAGTACTTAAGTAGAGGAGCAGGAGTTCGCAACTTATTCTTCGTCTGTATGTACTTGTATGTGCGTATGTATTAATATGTGTGTGTATTTACCTTTCTCTAAAGGGTCACAAACAACGTTTGCTCATCTGACAGCCTTGACATCTCCGGAAGTCTTTAGTCCAGACAACCTCACGTCGCACGATTAACCTGCGTCTATCACAAAATTACCACCTCGGTATCCCTACAGTCCCGCCCTCACACGGCCACCGTAACAAAGTTCGCGTTCGCCTGGATTCGAACCTCCAATATCACTCCTCGGAACATTGGGTTTCTGCGACTGTTTTGCCATCGTTCTAAGAGGAAGGAGGTGGGCTGTAGACCCTAGTCGTTCACAGTACGCAATTTTTCCGCTTCAGATCGGTGGCTGACTCTTGTTTCGCGATTCAGTTTCCTTGGATTGGCTGTCGTTGGCCATTCGGTTGCCATGTCCCCTGATCCATCTACTCAAAGGCCCAGACATTTGTCGCTCTTTAACGTCAACTGTTTCGACAAAGCTTTCTCTACATTGCCATTTTTGACAAGACTTCTGATGCGTATTGAGCCCATTTTGTGTCAGGAAGAATGCAGAGCAGATGCACGTCCACTCAGCAATGATATTGTGCGTCGTCACTTCATGCCTGGGAGACTTTAATGAAGTCGACTTCAATGAATACAGGTAGCGACAAGTACCTGAGTCTGTCATGGGGTCTTGAAACTTGGACATGGCAGTTTGGAAATCTGCATTGTCGCCTCTTGATCTGTTCTTCGCTATGCTTTCTCTCGTGGACGCGTCGTGTGTAAACTCTGGAGAATACCCCGCGACATCCAGGTTCTCGACAAGGATAAACCCTCTTGACTCGACCCCCATGACCATCGCTGCTATTCGGTGAGGGGTACGCGGAATCTCCACCAGCCGGGGAGAGCTGCATATTGGATGAACACTCATTGGCATTTGTATTATGTCCCTGTTCAGCGAAGGTAAGCATGTTGATATCCATGAAATCGTTGTAATTATTGATTGGAGTCCGAGCGTGAAGTAATGTTGCTGTGGCCTCTATAGGCGATATGGGGTCGTCATTGCGGTGGGAATACAAACGAGGCATAAGGTCGCTCTCGTTCCAGAACAAAGGCTCCAGTAGGCGAAGATTGGCCGCACTTGCGTCAGGATTAGAAACGGCTGCTTCTCGGGAAAATGCGGTATTCTGGCCACCGAGTTGGTTAAGGAAAGCGTAGGTTGGGTGATTCGGGTGATTCGTCCAATCCATGCTGTCCTGTGAAGGCGAGTCCACTATCGTCGGGTTGCTTGATTCTTTTTGTCAGTCAAAAACGTCTACTCAAAACTAGGACTGACTATGTTGGCTTCTCTTCATGTGTCCAATCCTTCCGACGTCCTTGGATCAATGTTGGAACGTTCTGCTGACATGGAGGCGGAGTCGCGTTAACTAGGGAAGGTGATCGAGACAGCGTGGACGTCGATGCGGATGACGAACAAGTAGATTCTCGCTCGAATTGTCCTGTGCGTTCGATTGTGAGACGACATGCCATGCCATTGCCCCAAGGCTCGACGATCAGAGAGTATTGCGGAAGGCCTGACCACCTTTCATGATCAACGCTGGCTTGAATATCAGGACGAGGGACAAACCTGCCGTCGACGATTCTCCAGCCTTTTCTACCAGACACGCAAGGTGTCGAGAGCCTCCTTGGGGAGAGTGATTGAGGATGACAGTCGTTCCGTCCTGTATAGGCACAGCAAACATCGCTGCTCCTCAATTGGATGGAAATTTCGGGTATTTGATTTCAAATTACCTGGTTATATTGGATGAAGCATTATCCGCAGTTGAGTCAAAGGAACAGCCTGTTGAGTCTGAGCGAGCCCTGGTCGGCTGCTCCGGGACACCCAGTCAATCATTTCAGCTCCCTGATCCACCCCGTTTAGAACGGAGACTGGTTAAAAATTATTATTCGAGACTTACGTGGGGCTATTGATTAATGGACCCAGGTAAATCGCGGGTTCCTGTCACCGACCCTGCTCATACTTCGACTGCCTGGCGCTCAGTCTCGGCGCACTTCAAAGGTTACAGATCTCCTACCATGGTCTTATGCTTGGTGTGGCGAGACCGCGTGTAAGTGTAAAAGGTCCAAACATAACATACTGTATGTTACTTGCCAAGAGACATGCATAGCGCTGAACTTTGAAGCATCTTATAGGGGCTTAACGGCGTCTTCAGAAGTCATCACACTGTGACGTTATGCAACGGATCCGTTGGGTCCAATGAGCCCACATTCGGACATACAAGGATCACAGCACTTATCGTGATCAAGAATGTGAGGTTGTCAAGTTCTCGCGAGGCGCCAGATCGAAAATAAAAATAGCTCAGAAAGAAGGGCTGGGTGTACATTTATATTTTGGTGATACGTGCAATAAAATGAACCCTGCAGACAAATAATGGCGGTGTTTTTTTCAGAATGGAATAGTTGCATTTTCCAAAAGGATGATACAATTGGAAAGCAGTCCGCTACTTAAAAGAGGTGCGCGTCATTCGGGACCTTGATCAATCGAAGTGCTACATATCGCCGGGAAGACTACATCACCATGCATCATGCTTGATTCTCGCCCTTCCACTGGTCGAGCGGGAGACAGTTGCCCTCCACTGCGGTCGCGATCCAGGACAGACTACGGTTTCGGGTTCCGGCGACCTCGGCCTTGTCGACCAACTCGCGGATTTCTCTGATGGCTTCAGCCGAAAGTTCCACTTCGGCGCCATGAGCGTTTTCCTCGATGCGCTCGGTAGTGCGGCAGCCAGGAATTGGAATCCCTACAGCAGCAGCAAGGTGGGTTAGAAGATAAATAAGCTCGGAAACGAAATGGCTGACAAGTGGGGTGCTCCGCAAGGATCCAGGCGAGAGTGACTTGGGGGGGCGTAGCGTTGTTCTTAGCAGCAATTTGGTGCAACTTGTCAACGATCTCGAGGTTCTTGGGGAAGTTTTCTTCGGACCAGCGAGGTAGGATCAGCCGCAAGTCACCCGCGTCAAAGTCAGCCCGGGAGCGGTAGCTAATGGTTGTCTGAGAAACGCTTTCCACAAGTGGCGTAGGACGAACGTACCGGCCAGTGACCAGACCACGAGCGAGGGGGCTGTAGGCGACGACAGATACACCGAGGGCTTCCGCTTCCTGAGCAAAGCTCTTCTGTCCTTCGGTGCCCCTAATTATGAGACGTTAGTCTATTCATTCTGCCATATCTGCGACGACGTACGGCAGCTCTATGTCCAATGTGAACGGAGAGTATTCCATCTGGACGGCAATGATCTTATCACCAAGTCCCTTGACATTCTTGGCTCTTTTCAAAGTCTCGACGCTGCACTCGCTGAGGCCTAGATACTTGATCTGACCTGACTCAACGAACTCGCGCAGGGCTTCCAAGACGATTTCGATAGGCACTTTGGCGTCTACACGATGCTGATAGTAGAGATCGACATAGTCGGTCTTCAGCTGGGAAAGCGAGCGGAGGAAGGCCCTGCGAACGTAGGACGGTTGGGATATCACACCTCTGTTGATGTATTAGCGCCCTCTGTGTAATATGCAGAACAGTTCAATACCGACTTCTCGGGGGGCCCAGTGGGGTCGAAAGCGCCGAATTTGGTGGCCAAAAAGATATCTTTGCGTCGTTTAGTGGATTCGAACCACTTCCCGAGAGTAGCCTCAGCTAACATCGATGGCTTCAGTCAGCCTGTACAATCGATGAGGTGGAGAGGAGTCACGTACATGTACCATAGATATCGGCTGTGTCCCAGAAAGTCATTCCTCTATCGGCGGCGTAGGTCAACGTCTTCAAGATAGTTTCCTCACTGGCAGAGGATTGACCATAGAACGCTCCGATACCTATCGATATTCAAAGCGGTCAACGCGGATGTAGGCACTGAAGTTGGGTGAGCTCACCCATGCATCCAAAACCGAGCTTAGCGACATGAGGTCCATTCTTGCCCAACTGGCGGAGGGGGATTTTGGTAAGGGCTTTGGTTGCAGACATCTTGGACCATTCAATCTAATCCTTCAAACCTTTATACGGCCCCGGGTATCGGCTGACGCTGACGGGCAAAGAAGTGGGTCACTGTCTGTCACTCAGTCGCGTCGGGTGATGAAGTGGGTCAAGAAGGCTTCTTGTGTGTTCTCCATTTTTCGGGTCTACATACCCTACGCCCAATATTAGAATATCCATAACCGTTTGCCAGGACGTCATACCGAGATAAGGATGTACTCAAGTCTTAGCGTCACGTAACGAAAGGCAGTTCACGCCAGGTCCCCGGGACCATTATGTTGACTTAAAGCGGCCATAAGCAGTCTGTAGTCAGCGGTTGATCGCTGCGATTGGTGCTAGCATCTCCGCAGTGTCGACTAGTAGTACGATCGTTTGAACTTCGCGTTGTAAAAGAGAAGTGATAATGTGATCGAGCCGCAGGATGAGTAAAGGGTGACAAGTCCAGTTGACAAATCAATCAATCATATCGCCTACTGGCAATTCTGATCAATTTACGTCTGTGACAAGTAACCTGCACTTTAAAAATGGTCTCCATGGCCATCGAATGCGCTACAAGATATTTTCCATTTTTGTATACCCTTCATTCTTTAATTTAGCTTGTTTTCCGAGGGTCATCGGAGGAGCAGGGAAAATCAACATGTGCAGACAACGGCGCGTCGACCATGTTGTTTCAAGGCAGAACTTGTATACGGAAAAATTGATAGACATACTGAAATTATCTATCTGTCGCAAAAAAAATGATAACGGGCGCAATTGAAGCTCTGCGAGCCAACTCGACAAGCAGAAAATGACTAGGGTGCCAGAGATGGGAATGGGCAAATATTCTCTCGTATAAATACCTCCCGAAACCATCTGAATAAAGTTCGAAGTTGGCGAAAATTTGCCAGTGGGCCCACGGAACCACATAGGCAGACAGATCGACGACCAACGTCCTACACTTCTTCAGTCGTCTTCAAATCAGCTTCTTCAGTCGTCTTCGAATCAGAGGTACCGAAATTTTCCCGAATTCGTTCACCATACGTCCATAGAATGTATAGCCTAAATTCGAAATATAAGTCACTACCCCGTAGGAGCGGAGCAAAACCATACGTTGGGAAGCCTATAACTATAGTCGCGACACCCAAAACCACGGAACCCAGGCCATAACCCAACCCATTGAACATTGCAGGAGCGAAGAGGGGGAACCCAAATCCAGCTAGAGAGCGGAAGAACGTGACAGAGGCCATAGCTAGTCAAAGTAGTATTAGTGGTTTAAATGCTGGGCTGTATGGCAGCGGAAACCGACCAGAAGCGGCTAAAATGGATACGTCAGGCAAATTTGCAACGTAGAATTATCCAGACTAACCGTGAAGCGTAAACGCGTCCGTAACATATGTTTGCATAGGCTGGAAATTGAGATCCGTCCCACCAGCAACCAAGGCGAGACCCTTGGAAGGAAGTGTTAATATTATCTGGTTCCAGGTGAGTAACAAAATCATACGATATCAGTTGCTATCCAAGGTATAGTTGGCCGGGCCGTCCAACCAATGATAAGAATGCCAATTGGCAACAGAAGAGTGCCGAGAGCCATAAAAGCTGGATGAATGCGTCAATATTACTCAGAAGCTTCGAAAAGGAACATATCGCGACATACGTAGACGATACTCTGGGCGACCCACTCCGCCATTACGTTTCTGGAAGTATTTATAGCATACGTCAAGTGTGCGCATATTGATATATGCCCCAGTAATTGCACCTAGGCCATGGGCGATGTAGTGCAAACCAGAGATACCGAGAGATTCGCCCCTGACTTTCTGGAAGATGTCAGGAATGGTCGTTAAAATCAGGTAAACCACTCCGTATCTGTGAGACATCAAACACATGTTGAAGTTATGATTTGATGGTGTAAAAAACAAATACTCAACAGGAAAGTCATGTATAAACCGATGAGTTGAATGATAGGCTCTCTAGCGAAAAGCGTAAACGGCCTGACCATCGCCTTGAAAACAAAGTTTTTCCATCTACAAAAGAATAATTTTAAAAAAAACGGTAATGAACTGGATAAAATTTGGAGATACTTTATCGGCTCAGATTCGTAGATAGTGCGCACAGCGTTCTTGTCGTCCTTTTCTAAACCCAGTTCTTTTCTGACTTTTGCAGCCTTGGCCGAAAGAAGGGTAGGGGCATAGGCTAGATAAACCAATTCACGCCCATGCATGCTTGGAAAGGGATAAAGCTCACATTCATTCAAAAGAAACCAGTACAGGGTAAGGAAAATGGCATCGATGATGCTCGTAGACCAGAACTGAGGATGCAAAGCGATTTCAATTTGAAGCAATTTGATGGCAGCAAAAGAGACTGACGACCCATCTCCAAGAAGATTTGACAGCGATCCAGGCTCCAATGACAGGCCCGACACCCTAAAGAAGGTCACATCACCAAGTGAGAAGGATATAAAAGTCAGAGCGGCGGATGCTAACAGTCCCAAGAACAGCACCGAGGGTGAAGACGCCGTTTGCGAATCCACGCTCTTCGGTATGCCATATATCTGCGAGAACGCCGACGCTAACGGAAAATGGCACGCTACCACCTACTCCAGACAGGAATCGAAAAGCGATTAATTGGGATGTGTTGTTAGCGAAACCACATCCAAGGTTGAAGGCTTAAAACAATGAACACATTGTCAGGATGACGTCGTATGTAGGCTTACCAAGGTACACAATGTTTGCCATGAGGGACACCTTTTTGCGACCGAATATTTCACTCAGAGGACTGGTCATTGTTTGAGTATAAGGGGCGCAATGGAAAGCCAGGCAATTATTTGACTTACCCGAGAATTAAGGGACCGAATGCTGCAAAGTGTCAAAAAAAGGAACGTCCATAGCGAAAAAATGTATCACCGTAGGCAAGAACGAAAATGGAAGTTATCATGTTGATAAGCGCGCCGCTTGTAATGTTGAATTCTTCGGCGATTTGTAGACTGGAAGGGGCGACCATAGTGGACGATAAAGGCGTTAAAAAGGTTAGTGCGGAAACCATCAATGTTGCTATCATCTTTTTCCTGCGAGTCCAGCTGGAAAAAATGATAAAAATTCGTCAGAAAACAAGCTGTGTGGGACCGACGGCTGAATTACCATTTAGGATTGGAGGGATCCGTTGGGCCGTCCCAACCTATGATGATAGGCCCTGACTCAAGTGAGTGTTTTGTCGCCTTCTCCTCCTCTAGATTCTCAGTCGAGGAGTCAGATGTGGCTGGTAAAGTTAATTCTTGGGAGAGGGGGCCCCGAGAGGATCGCCATGACAGAGAGCGTTGAATCGCTTCCGTAGGACTTTGAGTCTGCGCTCCTGTTATGTTTGAGATAGCGGTATGCTGAAACCCAACAGCGCCATCGAATGGTTGAATAGGAACGGCGGGAGACATCCTGGACAGAGTTGAGTCCAGTCTAGCGGGTAAGAGCCTAAAGGCAAGTGCAGATCGTTGCAGTGGCGAACCGAGGAATTTCGAGCTTGAAGTAGGAGAGGCAAGCTTCTCTAGTCCGCTTGGAGAGCATATTATCGTGCTCCTTATTTCTCATGCTCTGAGCACGCTGTCGAACGCGATCAATCCCCAGGCTCCATTCTGGTAGATCCTGGCACTGGCAGTTGCTCTCATGCTCAACATGCTCAGCGTGCCACGCCGGCTCTTACCGGACCCTGATCGGATCACGGGATTGAGCTTGGAACCAACTTCAAACTCTTGTGATGTTCAGCAATTACTAAATTTCCTGTTTCTGACCTATTCCTCTCGAGGCTCATAGGATCGACGTGTTCTGACCTCCACAATTTTTGAAACGAATTTTTACCGCTATGGCCACCTTGCCGTTCTGAACCCCAAATTCACCTCATTGGCGCTGGAGCCTCTGAAAAAGGTCAAGAAGAGCCTGATGACCGTCATGTAATTAAAAGTCGTTGCGGTTCTAACCAAAAAAAATCTATTGAGCAAATGGAGTTTCCAAACGACCGAGAGATAGACTTCTAAATCAAGAACGGGCGAATGACCCCGGACCGAACAAGTATGAAAAGCAGCTCCTTCAGGCGTTTCAAGCCTGGAACTATATTCCTTGAAACATCAATTTATGCCTCGCAGGCACATATGATTCAATGTTTTCTGGAGGGGTGATAACGTATGGAAATACTCGCCCTTCTGTTCTGTTAACATTGTTCTTGCGTCGAAAAGAAGGTCGTAGGCTAAGCAATTTATGTTAAAGCGCTCATACTAAAAAAAAAACTGATAATGACGATATTCAAGTTATCGATAGTGTTATGTAACAAATGCGCGACAATGAACCCATAGATAACATTATTAACGACAGGTTTCACAAGCAGTGATCTGCCCCCTCGACGAATAACTGATCATCAGCACTTTTGGATGAATTCATGCCCACGGCCATCCGATTATGGAGGCAACTTTCTGGACCTCGCGATACCCCAAATTCCGTGGCGATGGCTGCATTATTACTATGACTTTGGGAGAGGATGATGTTGCACCTTCGTTTCGCTTCGCATGTGCGCACCCGAATCCAATGAAATCGATTATTATTCGAAAATTACAAGAACTTGATCCCGCGGGATCATACGGAGAAGCTTAAATTAAGTGCTCTGCTCGCCCTTCCACTCCGCAAGCGGGAGAGAGTTGCCCTCCACACCAGCCAAGAGCCAATCAAGAGCAGGGTTTCTGGAACCAGCAACTTCAGCCTTATCGACCAGTTCGCGAATCTCCTTGATAGCTTCAACGGAAAGCTCGATTTCAGCGCCACGGGCGTTTTCTTCGATGCGCTCAATGGTGCGGCTTCCTGGAATGGGGATCCCTACGGTATCAAGGTCATGAATGCGCATATCAGCAAAGTTGGTTTGGGAGAGGGCTGACAAGTGGGGTGTTCCGCAAGGATCCAGGCAAGAGTGACTTGGGACGGCGTAGCACTGTATTTTTGAGCAATTTGCTTTAGCTTGTCTACGACCTCGAGGTTCTTAGGGAAGTTCTCTTCCGACCAGCGAGGGAGAATCAATCGGAAGTCATCCTGATCAAAATCGGCTCGAGAGCGATACCTATTTATCATCTCAGAAATATTTTGTGATAGATGGCGTAAGACTCGGCATACCGGCCGGTTATCAAACCACGGGCAAGAGGGCTGTAGGCGATGACGGAAATGCCTAGATCTTCGGCCTCCTGCGCAAAGCTCTTCTGACCTTGAGGGCCGCTAAAAACATAGTCAGCTCTTTCATTCACCTATGTTGGGAAAACGCACGGTAATTCTATGTCCAATGTGAATGGAGAGTATTCCATCTGGACGGCGATGACCTTCTCGCCAAGACCCTTAACATTCTTGGCTCTTTTCAGCGTCTCGATGCTGCTCTCGCTCAGACCAAGATATTTTATCTTTCCCGCCTCCACAAACTCGCGGAGGGTTTCCAGGACAACTTCAATGGGGACTTTGGGGTCGACACGATGTTGGTAGTATAGGTCGACGTAGTCGGTCTTCAGCTCAGAAAGCGAGCGAAGGAAGGCCTTACGAATGTAGGATGGCTGAGAGATCGGACCTCTGTTGACGTGTCAGTACTACCGCTGAGCAACAAAAAGTCTGTACACAAACGTGTCGGGAGTGCTGGCGAGGTTGAAGGAGCCAAATTTAGTGGCCAAAAAGATGTCCTTGCGTCTGTTCGTCGTCTCGAACCACTTTCCAAGCGTGGCTTCAGCTATCACCGATAACCTAAGTAAACCTGTACGGTCGATGATGCCGAGAATTACGCACAGTTGCCATAGATATCAGCCGTGTCCCAGAAAGTTAAGCCTCTATCTGCGGCATAGGTCAATGCCTTCAAAATAGTCTCTTCACTTGCGGTTGTTTGACCGTAGAACGCTCCGATACCTTGCAAGAATCAGTACGATAACGTGAGATACTGGTGAGGGTTGAACCCACCCATGGTTCCGAAGCCAAGTTTGGCGACGGTAGGGCCATTTCTGCCCAATTGGCGTTGAGGATAATTGGTAGTTGCAGCCATGTTTTACTGAGACAGTGGACCTATTCCTGGAGCTTAAATACCAAGCACCAGCCGATATACGTCCATGTATGGTAAAAAGCTCCACGGCCAGTGGTCACCGGTCACCAATTGAGTCAAGGCAAACGCGTACACCACTGAGGACACTAATCTCCATATTCTGCATGGTGACCCACTTGAAAGTCCTTTGTGTGACACTGAAAAGCATTCGGTAAGTACCATGGTGGAACCAGAATTAGCAAAGTCCTACGGCAATCAATGCTATGGCAAACGAAAAGCTGCTTCTTCCCGTCATCCGTGTCCAATCGAGATGTCGAAATGTCATGCTACATGAGCGAAGCACCAGATCCTTACTCATTCATATACATATCACTGCGTCCTAGATGGTGTTGTCTGTCGTAATGAGAAGCGCGTCGAAGTTCAAGTTGAGTTCAAGCGTCGTTGGTGCGTCGTTCGATTACTCACGTGAGTTATTGGTGATGTTTGTGCGTGTGACAGTGTGACAAGAATTTTCTCCTCCATCAACTCGCGACGCATTGACCTCGCTCGCACTATCGATTCACATATAATACCAAGCGGCAAACCAGTTCCTGTTAAACAAAACAAAACTGTGTTTGCAAACTGTGGTCGTGAGATTTGAACTTACCACCTTGCACCATTATGACCACTCTATGGCACTCATACGCGTGTGTTACGTGCAACTAGGCAGCCTCTCGACGTGGGTTCTATCGCGATCGACATTCTTGCGTCATACCATGCCTGTAACCCGTCGAGTGTCCGAGCACCCACCAAATCGCCGATTTATGAAAGGCTTGCATGATGCTGCAGCTGATACTGGGCGATCGCAGACAATCATATCTGACTATTCCGCCTTAGTACGCCACACTTGGGAACAAAGACCAGTCAAAAAATAGAAAATGTCTCACTCGGGATGGTGCTCCACTAACTTTAGTATTTACAATATTTCCTCGGCCGTCCTTTCATCTGCAACAAGGATATATCGGGAATTTGAGCTCACTTCAAGTGCGGAGCAAACCCTAGGACAAAATGTTTTGCTCATTGTCTGTGCAATGCATCTGACAGATGCTGAGGTGACAGATCTCTCTACAACCACGGCATGGCCATGGGGTAACCAAACCAAACGCACGCAAAAATCTCAAGTCACAAATGTCTAGATTGTCGAGAAATGGTCGTTCGCCGGGTGGAGTCGGCGGCGGATGGTGGGGCCAGGAGAAGCAAAGACGGAAGGTGCAAATCCTACGCGGAAGGAGACATAGGGCCGTTTTCGAATTCGACCGGAGTGTGTTTCCTTGAAACTGAGACGGTTAAAGATATTGTCGACTAGTACGTTTTTTCTCCCGGTTAATCATGACATAAAAACAATACGGTGAAGAATTGTTCAGATCATCCTGCTCAACACCATCTAGTACGAGAACCTCTGCCAAAATCCATCACCCAACGCAAACGCCCTTCAGTAAAGGCGAGGAACTCGCACTGTCACGTCTACAAAAGGATCAACCCAATGTCGGAGCAAGGAGATACAGGACTTGTTTAGGGGTCAATACCAGCCGTATTACGTTGTTGATGGTTCTGCTGACCCAGGGGTGACTTTTCGCCATCATAAAAAAAAAAACAGCAGATCTCAAACGTGCAACAAATTTGGTAAATCTGTTAAAGATTTTAGGAGTTGACGTTTGAGTTAGGTACAAGTTAGGTATCTGCAATCGGTGCTGTGAACCACCGGCCAGAACAGCGTTAAGAACCAGCTATGTACCTAATGGTAGGCACCATAAAAGATTTGACTGGATAGGCAACGCTGGAGAGGTGGCTAGTGCCTCCCAGCATATACCTAGCTAATCGGGTAGGATAGAGGTGGTGTCATGTGATGCATATCGACAGTATGCAGGAGTGCGGATTCCGGTCCCCAAAGCTTTCTTTAGGAAGCACGAAATTGATATTCAAATTGACAATTCTTCAAAAATTCAGCCCCTTTATGGCTTCCTGCTGACCTAATGCGGATTCTCATCCACAGCGCCTTAAACTTGTCTGGAATAGATGAAATAATATACAAAAGCCCCCGTTCACCTATGCTTCGAGAGAAGAACAAATTATTACTGTATCGTCAAGCAGGTTGTCCTTCTAAAAAGCTTAAGAGCCTTCGGACCGTTCATTCAATAGTACTTTCCGCTCCACCGTCTGTCTGAGCGAAAACAAGAGATTGTAACCCTTCATTCCGACTGCATTCTTCCTCGAAGGGCAGATAATAAGCTTCTCGCAAGTTGAGAATGAGGCGACAACCTAACATCCTTGAAAAGAATTGAGACAAGCCAGCCGCCACAGGAGTTGAATAACTCTGTAAAGGATGAGAGTCAAGATATCAAAAAAGGAAGTCTCATTCATGCCTTACCAGTGGTCTGAACCAGCCCAACACATTTGAGGCTCCAACTATCAAAGCTCTAAATAAAAAAGTCAGTAGTAGTCATGAAGATAATTATTCCTTACATGACAGGATACAATATACTGTCACGGAGAAGAATAAAATGCAATGGGAATCGATTGGATGAGGGGAGCGATCTTGATTCCTTAAAAAATTGCATTCCAGCCCGTAGTCCAAGTAGGAGGATGATCGACTCATAACCAAATATTGGAATCCAAGATATATAAAACCAGTTTGTGTTATGCGACACGCACACGTGAATGCCCGGGTGAGGTTCAGTGTTGACTGCATTGAGATGGGACATGAGTGAACGATCTTACTTCACAAACAAAGTAGAACCCACCGTTGATGCGGTGAAGGTACAATAAATCGATTACTACCATTGAAAGAATCTCAGTCGCAAACGCGACAGCCGCCAGGAATATAACTCGTTTTGACTGTTTGTACATTGTAAAGATGCGATATTGCATTATAGCTGGATTGGGGGGGAGTTTTGTCAGTTTATAGCTATAATGGTGTTAACGTTCTTGCACCGAACCTTGCATCGACCAAATTATGACATGACTTGCCCATCCTTCTATTTGGGCAACTAGAAATCTGCGTGGCGTGCGTGCCACTTGCGTGCTAATTTTCACGCATGTCACGCAACTTGCACGCTTGCCACGCAAGTGTCACGCAGATGATGGTGCACGCGTGTACCATCCTGGCAATATTCTGTGCCAATGTAATGAAAAATAGACTGTTGTGTGTAGATTAAAGCACCAACTATATCACTATACTACAATAAGGACAGTCAGAAGATAACTTTCCAACGGAGGTCTAAATTCATCCGTTTCCCACGCCACTCAAGGGCGATTAAACTCTGCCGAAAGTGAGCGCGACGCCCGAAAGCACACTGCACAATGAGTAAATCTGGCGTACATAGAATAACGATGGAATATAATGGTTTTTGTTATTTAATTAAAGCGGGCAAAGTAATGATGTAATGTTTCCCACCTTCGGGGAACATTACATCATTAAGATTTGACGGCTCTATATTCATGCAAATGACCTCCACACTAATAGCCCCTTTCTCTGAAAACAATTTAAATGTGTAGAACTAAAGAAAGGCTTCTTACCCATCCCAATTTTTTTGAGAAATAATGACAGGAACATCCTCTAATAAGTCTGACAAAATAACGATGTGAAGACAAGATTAGCTTTTAGGTTAGCTAGCTTCATAGCTTTATTTTCCTTCGTATACACATTATTTTAGTAGCCTGGCGTTGAACGGCTTTTTATAATATGTCATAGAAAAATATGAGACATAATGATGCAATCATGTAAAAAATTCCCCTTTTTCTGGCAGAGAAAAACCATCTTGACATCATTGAATTCAATCCTTCTGAATTACTTTGTCATTCCCATATGGCGTCAATCAATTAAGTTTAAACATTGTAATAGCAACTTTCTGTACCGAATCAGTGATGCACGGAGCAGTCACGCATGCTCAGGACCTTGACACGCATCACCAGGCAGATGCGTGCATGTGCTCACGCATCAGCATGTGTCAGCACGCATCAGCACGTTACTGATCCCTGAAGCTCACGCTCATCCACGCATCTGCACGCTCGTCCACGCACCAGCACGCGTCTGCACGCACTAGCACGTGTCTGCACGCACTAGCACGTGTCTGCACGCACTAGCATACTACTATCACGCTAACACGCACTTGTGAACGCCCATGCACGCTACCCATTTATATTAATAAATACTGGGTCTTTGGACGATGCATCAAGCCACAATTTAGAGTTAGGTTCCGTTCAATGGAAAGTGATCGATGCTCAGCGGGTCAACAAATATCATCCTGATTCTTCCTTGCTTTCTCCTTCATCTAAAGGCAAAATTCTCAGACGATGGTGAGTCCCCTGACATTAAACCAGTTTCAGATTCTAAATATTTCATGTAGGACTTTCTCAGACATGTTTTTCGGTACTTTGGACCGCCAGAACCAGATGAAGCACAATCTAAAAGGGCTGTTTCGACTGTGAAAAAATTTCAGGACCTAATACCTGTATATAGCATGGATGGTACGTCGGAGTCATGCAATATCAAATATTTTCTAATTAGTCGGACTGTGTTAGGCCGTCTATTGAGGTACATTGAAGGAGGTATTGGAGAGGAAAAGGTCGCATCACCCAACAAGGCAGCCCGTGCGTCACCGCTCATTGGAATCATGGATTTGGACTGATTTTGAATTACATCTAGAAGCTATCCCTATCTCCCGCAATAAACATGCTTTGCAGTCTGTATCAAAAGACGATGTCTTTTACAAGCGTACCTCAGACGGGAATTATGTACCAGTCACTTCCCCACCTTTAAAATCCTCGTCTCTCCCCACTCTACACAAAAGCGATCCCTCTGATTCGCTTTATATTGACACCGGGGAATGGGACGGTTGGCCCAATGGAAACTTCAAGCGCGACTTTACACCTGCGGAGATTGAAGCAACAGGAAATCTCCGTGTGCATTGGGCCGTTCGAGTTAACGGAGGTGATCGAAAAGGAAATGAGCACACTGAAAACTGGGAGGGAGGGAAGAAATCCTCAAGACGCTGCCTTGGGGTCATTGAGTGTGACAATCCACTTTGCAAAACACTCATCCGACCCCACACAGCAGCTCAAGGAATTAACAAGCAGTTAACCGAACCATGTCAATGTGGGGCTGAGCTCTCTCATCGCAGGTGCAACATAATTTCTTACCTCTGGCGATGGTCGGATGGCGTTCATTACGAAAATGGTGGCTTTCATACGCACCGTCGACCGACTCATATTCTGCACCTCCTTCCCAAGGAACAGCGACGATTTGAAGAAATGGTCAAGGCGTATCCAAAATCAGGACCACTTCAACTAATCGTTGGAGTTCCAGGACTCGATGGGCCTGGTGAATCCATCGCAGATATCTCAGATGTGTTTTTGAATGCTCACCGTGTCAGCAAAGAGCGTTCAAAACTCAAGAAGGGTCATGTCCAGGGCGCCGACGCTTTGTTAGCTTCATTTTCCAAGTTCGCTAACGAGCATCCAAACTTTGTTATCCATTCCACTCTCAGCGAAGAGGTGGTCATATCGGTCCAGACAAATTTTATGCGATCACAAATGGTCAAGAATCAGCGTTTGGAGGGTTCAGTCAATGGAATGGTGAATGACGCTACTCATGACTTTTGGAAGGAGCGAACCTCCCTCCTTGTTGTTTCTTCGACTTATTGCTCAACACTCTTATGCTGGGTTCCTGGAGTGTTATCCTACTCAAACGGCGCTAGTGCCATCCACTTCGAGCACCACTTCCTTGCAGTTATTATGAGCATTGCTCATGAGGCAGAAGCACGAGGGATTCCCATAACGGATGATCTCTTCGCGGGGGTATGTCATCATGTTTTATTCCACCAACTTTTCCCTCATTGAATTGTTAATTTGTCAGGTCATGGACTTCAGTGAGGCAGAGCGTAGCGGATTCATCCGAGGCTTCGTTGTCTTCTGGATGGCTCGACCTGATAATACACGAAATCGGCAGGAGCTTCAGGTGGCTGCAGAGCATCTCCTGAAAGGATGTAGAGAACATTACTGTGCTGGTGTTACGCGTGTCAGCCGCATCTCTGGCGTCATTTCACCTGCAATGGCAGACGCGTTTATCACGCGTGCATTGGGCCTCTTAACACTTCCGACCTCAGCAGAATTCACTTCACAGGCTTTGCTCCTGGTACGCGATTTCCCTAAGCTTGCTTCCTGGATGGAATGGTGGACACGGCCGGCTCATGCGTCTATGCTCTTCGAGTCTGAGAGAAAAATGGATATCGATCTTTGGGATTCTCTGCCAGCTGACAATAACGCAGAAGAAGCAATGCATTGGAAGCTTTACAGTGCCTGCGGCCGTAATCATGAATTTTTGGAAGGGATGTACTCCTTACATGCTGTTGCTGTATATTATGAACGCCTTCATGATGGAGCAACTCGTGAGTTCCTTTTTTATTGTCTCTTAAATGTATTCTAATGCAGATAAATCAATAGAAGGGAAGCCAATCCGCTATGGCAAAGCAGAGCCATGGAAGATTGTCAAGGAGAATATTGGTCGAACAAAACCCACATGCTCCAGAAAACTTGCAGATAAAAAGCGCAAAAAGAACGACGGACACCCACCAGACACGAACAAGGAACTCTTGGGCACAAATGCGAAGCAAAAGCAATTGACATTGAAAAGCTTCACAAAAAAGGAAGCAGAGCCGAAGAAACCAAAGCTGAAGAAACCAGACCCAAAGATAGCAGAGTCTCCGGCTACCAGTCCTGCTGTTCAAGACCTGCCGAGCTATCCCTGGTTCAAAAATTCTTGCTGGCTCGACTGTTCATTGCAACTTCTCTATACCACCATGCGCTGTTCAATCGACGAATTCAAGACGATTTATAATGCACTTCCAGAAAACTCCGCAATACGTCCTGTATTTTCTCATTTGTTGGAGCGGTACAATCGACGAGGCTGAAAAGACTACATCGACATTCCTCCGCCGTCAACGGGACTCTCTACGTACCCACCTCAAGAAAAAGAAGGTTATGGAGACTGTCAGTGGATTTGAATCACTTTTTGTATGTATCATCACTTTTTCTACGTATCATTGCCATATTTACCTGAGACTGATTAATTTCTTTTTAGGCCTGGTTTGCAGAGCTGGTCAAACTGGAGGAAGTGCATTCATCCTATCGTCCAGTTTCCGCTTTCGAAACACTTTTCATCGAGATTCACTACTGCACGGGATCGTCCAGTATTGGTGGTCCTCATGTTGAGATTTCTCACCACCCTCAACGACGACGAATCCAACAGCTGACACCGCATGACTTCGAACAGTTTCAGGGAGATTTTTCCTTGTATTTTGCGGATTGGGTCTCTCTAGACAAAGAGCGAGTTCCAGCAACTAGTTGCTGGCGTGTCAAGGAGACTGTACCTCTTTGTCTTGGTGCCAGAGAAGATATTCGTTATCTGCTTACTTCTCTCCCGCTTCTTTTCACTATGGAAGTTGGTGACGAGCATCCATCCGAGACCATGGCTCAGGAATGGGATTTTCCTTCGACGCTGCTTCCTCATACCCAATCTGCGGCAAATTCTCATGGACTTGTTTATGATCTCATGGGACTAGCCTTGACCAACGAAGATGGCAATCATTTTATTGCTCGGTATGCCTCGGACAACAAGAAGTTCATCTATACGTATGATGATTTGACGAATAATGGCCACCCAATCAGAGACAAACCTGCCACCTTCGATACTCATGTGGCCGGAAAGCATGTTGACCTACCTCAAGATTTTGTGGTCTATCAGGCTTTTTATTGGCTTCGCGGAGGAGCTGTTGCACAGGATTTATTCTTTCAAGTTCGAACAGCTGCCCTTGCCAAGAAATTCGATTTGCGATTCTCGACAAATAATCTTGACAGGCTCTTTTCGATGACCTACCACTCGGACCAATTTGTCGAGCTTGAGAGCAACAAGCGCACCTGGCTTTTGAACCCTTTTAGATCGCGCACCCTCGAGTATGTTTCTCGCGACGCACCAGCTGACATTACCGTGGAATCTCTGTCTCCAGAGCCCGAGGAAGGTGTAATCTCCCAACCTGGATCACCGACTACTCCACCTAGCCCTCTGTCTTCTCTCCCAGATTCAGAATTTGAGTTGAACTGCCGATGTGGGATCATCGGTAATGGTAACATTCTTTATCGCCATGAGCATGGGGTGGCTATCCAATGCGATCAATGTCGTGATTGGTCTCATATTGCGTGCCAGCGCGATGGGAGAGCCAGTAACCTTGCACCAGATGCCCCGTTTATCTGTGATTCGTGTGATTTGTCGCACCATTTTCCCTTGTCAAGGAAGTCTAAACGAAAGTAAGGATTTAAATTGTCTGTATTAGTGTTCGAGTTGACAAAAAAATTACAGGGAGCTCGAGGCACGTCTTGCATTGAATAAACCACTCGAGTTACGATTACGGTCAGACCTCGATATTCTCCACTATGAACGGTACTTAAATTTGTTTATTAGAGCGGGGAGAGGCGCGCTAGCGAGACGTGAGCAGTTTTGGTATCCGGTGCACCTCATTCAGGCAGTGCAACACGGTTGGAGGGTGCATTGGTGGAGGGAAAATCAATTTCTTGACAAGGATGAGCCTGCAGCTGGTGGATTTTCTGTTGTGAATACCAAGGACATCGTCGATTCATTGTGGAATGACCGATTGGCAAGACGAGCAATACGGGTGAGCAACACCATTGGTTTAATAGGATAATGGACTCACCCACATTTTTAGCTCGGAAAATGGAAACATGCCCAGGACGTCGAAACCTCAGAAGACATTCTCGCGGATCCATCTGAAATACCATACAGCGAGGAGATCAACAAAATCCTCTCGCCATCCAAAAAGCTTCTGAAGAATTTACTCACATGCTACGGTCCGGACGACCTGAAGAGTGAAACCATCCCGGCAAGAGATTGGTTAGAAAATGGCAAAAAGCCTCTTCAAACGAGCTTGGTTCCGTATTGCGGAGCTCTTTCTATCGTCGAGAGAGCCCAGATCGCAAACTGGTTTCTGTGTCACATCAGCAAAAATGCAGAGACCTGGCTTGGGCGCTTACCGCTGGCTCATGCATTCACCCTTTACACCGCAGAACATATCAAAAATGAACCGAAGTTTAAGGTTTTCACACAGCCAGAAATCATTAACGAGGCTTGGAGGATCCAATTTACAAGTATCCCTTCAGTCTTGTTCGACATTGATGTTGAACGCGAGGCCTTGGAGAATCTGGAGACCGAGATGTTTGAGGTTTCGAGAGCTGCGGGGATCGCGAGTTATTATCAATGGGGCTTGGACGCAGGACATCACCAAGATTGGGATCCGTATGCAAGGATGGAAGACTTGAATCATCAGGATTGTCCCGGAGATGATGATGATCTTCAGGTAAGTGAAACCCACTATGTTTGAGGTGACTCACATGACATCAAATAGTTTGGACCCGATTACATTCACCGCGAAGAGAAAATACAACTGACGGAAAAGAAATCGCGTCCCAAACCACGCCCCAAGATGATCAAGAAGACCATGCCCTATGTTCAGCACATGGCTGTAAACAATTGAGTATCCTACAGGAGGGCCACACCGGTGTAGTACGTTATGAAACAGTAAGATACTTGACTGTTTTTATTATGCACGCACCTCCTAAACCATACACGCACCCTATATATTATGCACGCGCGCCTGGGTGCACGCTAGGAGCATGCACGCACATCCTCTGTCAGTGCACGCAGCCCCTCCCTGCACGCTAGACCCTTGCACGCACCTACACGCACGCCACGCTCGTGCCACGCAGATTTTCCTGTGCCCCTTCTATTTTTGGTGCGGGACTACCTGAAATTTTACCGATTCCATAGCTTCATCACAGTCAAGTAAAAGGATAAATTATACCTACATCTAAAGCAATAATTGCATTGAGTCAAAATCAGTCAACGTGTGGAGGAGGGACTCACTCCTAATTTCAACAGACGCGCTTGATGAGTCAAAGTCAAGAAACGAAGGAGATTCACTGTGAACTAACGCCATTCTTTTCCGCAGAGGAAGGTCCGAGGATCAGATCTTCGATGGAATTGTGATTAGATTGAAGAATTCCCCTGAGCGAAAATATTCCACACCACTTGTAAGATATCTGTGATACCCCGTGAACAAGCGTAGCGGCAATGCAGAATTTGTGCGCACAGTGGAAGTGCTTCGCCGAAGTATCGGTTCTGGCACGCAACCGCAGATGAGACTACATAATACGCGGCGCCGGAATGTGAATGACGTACAATGATAAAGAGGACGGTTACGAATGTCCATTTTTTCTTCTACAACCATGATTAGCGACGGGTCTCGAGCGTGGATTTCAGTCCTACCCAGATGAGCTCGACCTAACATGAATGAGATAAGATATTGTCAGCAACGGTAGCCATAGTACTGACTTCCAAGTCAAAGGTGGTGACTGCCAAGAGAGTAAGTCATCGTTTGGCAGCAAAATCCTCGAAAAACTGACAGTGATCATAAAAAACCGCAATCGTAACTGCGACTGGGTTGGAACAACGATAAGCAAAAGAGCCGATACATTGATGATGGTCAACATGCCTTGAACATATGCTATGCATTGCATTTCATGAAGAAGCTTGTCGATTGGCTTGGATTCGTCCATCTTGACGCGAAGGCAAAGGGGATGAGAAAAGACATTGATGGTGGCAGTCAAGCCTCTTTTTCAAGGAGCGCCATTCAAGGCGTCAAACGTCCTAACGATCCGAATAACTATGACGGGGATGAGATGTTTGGGCAGAGTCTAACTTAATAAAGTGGTTTTGTTTCGTGGAGGAGATTGTGGCAGTATTCAAACGGCCCCGTTGACGCTGACAGTTGATAAGTATGACCAACATAGAGTATCAAGAAGGGACTAAATGCGGCAAGTATAATCACCCATAAGTTGTGGTGTTACACATATGTGTACGCACAGAAGGTAGCCGTTTCCACTTTCGCCCCTTTCAATGAAACAGCTCACCTCGGCAGAGAGTTGGGTGATGACGTATGCCAGCAACGGGGATTCCTTTACGCCGATCCCTGAAGCACTCCAAGTTATTATTAGATCTCAAAAAATAGAGACGATCTTTCACCAGTCCCAGTCCGAAAATTGCGTTACTCGGGTCTGTTAATGAGATAGTCATACAGGGAAGTCATGCGGTTGGAACGTGGAATTTCACAGCGGTAAGGCGGTGCAAAAGACAGAATGACTAGAGAGGGAGGAATCAACGCATCAGTGAGACGAAAGGATGACGTGTGAGTACTTGAGTACTTGAGTCTTGAGGAACGCAGAGAAAATTGGGGCTCAATGAGTTCGGCATAGATTGGATTCCAAGGACGACGGGACGTATATACCAGTAATCTCAATCCAGTCATCGCCAACGACAAAAGCGACTTGGATCCAATTGGAACAATCCTACCTAGGAACTTGCTGGACGGTATGACGCTGATCCATCGGATTCCATCCCAGGCCGAAATGATATGTATTGCGACATCTTCCAGACAAATCATTGTCAAAAGGAAAAGGGTTTCGAGACCTGCGGGACACTCACGTAAGGGCGTAATGGTGGAATCGCTGAAAAAATGTTGGTGGCAACTTGGTGGCAACCCGCGTGGATTACATAATGATCGTCCTTCCAGATAACGACCACGTGCACTGACCTTGGCGAGCGAGAGGACAAGAACGGAGAGTTAGAAGACAGAGCGGCGCTCAGAAGTACAACAGTATGTCTAAGTAGACGAGAGCCCTGGATAGGTTAGAGACATATAGACGCACATAAAATTCAGCGCACTGGAGCGCGTTACTTGTCTTCTTGTTGTCTTCAGTGCGCCCAGTGACTGTTTCCCGGAGAAGGTCTGAACTTGAAGAAGTATTATGATGTCGAATCGCGTGCAAGCCACAAACAAAAACAATTTGTAGAAGAAAGTGAGGGGTGAGATGAGTATACCGAATTCGAAGTCGCTAATTCTTTGGTTCCATGGTGGCACTGGGAGACATGGTCAGGGATATAGATCAAAGTCCAGGGTGTTTCTTGGCGTGGCACTCTACATGTATTTCGGGAGGTCTCCATCCTCACCTTCGTCGACGATAAGTCCAAAATGTTAGCACAAGTACGTAGAAATTCAACAACGACTCCGTCGCCCAAACATGATCATGAACCTCGATAAAATTAATCCCTCTTCCCATTCCCATTCCGAGTCCCAGTTTCGGGCTCGCTCCTAAACATATCCCCCCCATCCAAATACAAAAGCACAAAACTAAACACTGCATGTGACATGCTCGACATGAGGAGCGTTGCGCTTCCTAAATCTTTTTCGACGGGCTGCGCGCAGGTGAGGAAGCCGAGGAGGGACCAGGTGAGGTTCATTGCGACTATAGAGTAGGTGAGTTGGTTGGTCGACATGAGGGTTGAGGTGTTGGGGGAAAGAAAATGGGGAAGGAGGAAGGTGTGGGTAAGGAGGACATTTGAAAGGTGGGGGAGAACTCTGAGGCATCAGACAATACGTACATATCGTAGACCGCGCCCCCCTCCCCGCCCTTGACGCAACTAAATGCCCCACTCCGACGGCAGCAACCATACATGCGATGGATTGATTGAACCCCGGTGCCGTGCTTGCATTTGATATATGCTATTCCGGATGATGTGGGATTGATTTAGAATTTATGGGGAATGTCCAGTTAAAGAGGGCAGAGAAGAGGCTGAGGGAAAGGGAAGGAGAGGAGAAGACTTACGAGCCCACTTAAATAACTCAACTTGTGCGTCGCCGGTGAATCATAGATCAACTGCGGGTTCACGGTGAGTATGAGCGCGACGAAGATCTCGGCGATGCCTTTGAGCTGAATTAGCCTGTCGGTTGCTGGCATTGATATTAATGATACTGTGTGGGGTGCGTCGACCGTTGTGTGGGGTGCGGCCGTGCGGCAGGATGCAGGTTGGATATTGTTGGTGGGAAAAGGGGCCAAATATTGATGCCGTCATCTGAATCCCTAACATGTACGTATCGAACTTTAATCTCCCAGTGTACATAAAATAATATCCATCGCGAGCGTCCGTCTATTCTTCTCTTCAAATCCATCCTACACTAAATCAATATGCGTTGCCGTAGTTCGCTCCGGAGCCTAGGACGTTATCTGCAAACTGATTTCAAAGGGGGCATAAATGAGGAGGGGAGGGAGGGTTAGTCTTTGAAGGGAGGGAAGGGAGAAGGCGTACACAAGCGTTGATGAGTACAAGATGAGTATATGGATGGCTGTTGTTATCGTGTTTTTATTAACACAACACGGAAGCGAGGCACTGAGGAAACGGGGCCCGTCGTTGATGATAAGTCCAAGGCAAAAGTAATCTAATAACTATTCCGTTGCCCAAACATGATCATGAACCTCGATAACATTAATCCCTCTTCCCATTTCTCTTCTCAGTCTCGGGCCCGCTCCCAAACATATCACCCCCATCCAAATACAAAAACAAAAAACTAAACAATGCATGTGAGATGCTCGACATGAGTAGCGTTGCGCTTCCTACACCTTTTTCGACGGGCTGCGCGCAGGTGAGGAAGCCGAGGAGGGACCAGGTGAGGTTCATTGCGACTGTAAAATAAGTGGGTGAGTTACGGAATTGGTCATGTTGGGAAAAGAATGGGGCAGGTGGAGAGACGTAAAAATAAGATGGGAGAAAATAAAAAGTAAGACCCGGGTAAAAAGGTGGGGGAACTCCCGATCGGAGCAGAAAGGAAGGAAGAGAATCAGACATAATCGGACATATTGGAGCAAAGAGGGTTGGGGGGGAAATCGGGCGGGTGGGGAGAAGGAAAAGTAAGATGGGAGAAAATAACCGGGTAAAGAGGAAATGGAAGGTGGGTAGAAACTCCCAATTAAATCGAAAAAGGAAGAGAATCAGAGACGTACATATCGTACACCGCACCCCCCTCTCCCTCCCCGCCGCCCTCGACGCAACTAAATGCCCCACTCCGACAGCAGCGACCATACACGCGATGGATTGGTTGAACCCCCGTGCAGTGTTTGCGTTCGATATATGCTATTCCAAAAGATTGAAATTTCAAGACGTGAATGATGTGGGAATTCGGAGGTGGAAAGGAGTGAAAAACTTACAAGCCCACTTAACCCACTCAACGTATGCGTCGCCGGTGAATCATAGATGAACTGCGGTTTCACAGTGAGTACGAGCGCGACGAAGATGTCGGCGATGCCTTTGAGCTGAATTATCTTGGCAGTGGCAGTTGTTGGCGTTGACTCGGATATTATGTGGTGTGCTTCGGGGATGTAAGAATTCGAAATTGGTTTTGAAGGATCCCCACTAGCGAGTTCCCCTTCCCCCTTATTTTTTTCGTCCTTCATCTCCAAAGCGTCGTCATCCAAGACGCCTTTTTTGTGATGGTAATACCCATGATATGTATCAGCTGGGTCTAAGAACGAGAAGTTGGGATCAGAGCGCTGGCCCTCGCGGATTTTGTCTTCGAATTGAGAAGGATTGGCAGAACGCGCGACGAATAGGGCGGTTTTGTCGATGACGGCTGTGCAGAGATTCAGAAGGTCTTGTGAGGTAGGGAGAAGTACTGCTTACATTTTATCTCTGGGGGCGGAAGGATTTCAACCATTGACTGAATTAGCTTGGCAGTTGCTGTGGGGTGTGGCGGGATGTAGGAAATTGGTTTTGAAGAATTCCCACTACTAGCGAGTTCCCCTTCCCCTTTATTTTTTTCTTCCTTCATCTCCAAAGCGTCGTCACCCCAGACGCCTTTTTTGTGACGATAATACCCATGATATGTATCAGCTGGGTCCAAGAACGAGAAATTGGGATCAGAGCGTTGACCCTTGCGGATTTTGTCCTCGAATTTAGAAGGATTGGCAGAACGCGCGACGAATAGGGCAGTTTTGTCGATGACGGCTGTGTTAGAGAAGGTCCAAGTTGTGAGCGTTGAGGTAGGGCTTGATAGTGTAGTATAAGAAGTGGTGCTTACATTTTATCTCTGGGGGCGGAAGAATAACACTTTCAGCCATATGCATGTTGATGGTGAACGCCGGTTGAGTGACAGGTCAAACTACAAGGCGTGTTTGTGAAAATGAGTTCGAATCGGAAAGTGTTATGCGGCGAGCTGCAAGGAGGAAGGAAAGGTAACTTGAGACTTGATGGAAAGGGGTTTCGGTTGACTGAGGTCAGAAGGCGGTCAGGGCGAGGACCTACCAATAAAACATGTACGTCTCAAGTATCGAATAAATTCCTATAAAATAATGTCCATCCATCGTCAAGTTCATCTTCTCTTCAAGTCCATCCTCCTATAAAGTAATGTCCATCGCAAGCGTCCAAATCCATCCTACAATGAGACTAAACCAAAACCCCCACCAACAAAACCATCACGCCCACCAAACCCACCACTCCCCTGCCTTCCATCTTCCCCACCCCCACCCTCACCGCCCCACTCGTACTACTCGTAGGCCCCGCAGCATCCGTAACAACAGTAACGACCGTCGTCCCCCCTCCCCCTTGCGCAGCACTTGCACTAGTACTACTACTGACAGGAACGCTCGCGCTCGCACTCGCACTGTCAGAGGTATACGTCCGTATATACCTAATCTCCCAATACGCGTTGGCGTAGTTCGTTCCGGAGCCTAGGACGTTATCTGCGAACTGTTTCCAAAGCGCGCATATATGAATGAGTAAACGGAGGAAAAGAGGAGGGAGGGAAGGAAGGGAAAAGGCGTACACAAGTCCCCGGACAGGTTGATGAATATATGGATGGTACGCCTGCCCTGTTGTCAAGGTGAGTACAAGGAAGAAATGGCGCGAAGAAGAGAAGAAAAAGGGAAACGCACCAAGCACCACAAAGCGTCGTCAACAACACCAAGTTCTGCGGTGGGAAGTACTGCGTAATGTTACACCCCGAAGCAGGGTACGCCGCCGTTGGGAGACCCCATGAAGTGGTGTCCATCGTGCTGCTGGAAGTGGCGGTGCTTATGCTTGACGGTATGTCCGCTCGCTAAAAAAAAAAACGCGTCAACTCAACGAAAAGAAGTGAAAAAGGGAAACGCACACTCCAAAACCAAACATACACCCCCTCCCTCTCCATACTCATCGCATAAACACCACCACCCCCCTCCCCAAAAGCAGCCCCAAAACTCGCCTGTTTATTCTCCATAACAATACATCCCCTAGGCTCCGCACAATTCGTATTCGCCGTCGTCCCGCTCTGCAGTTGGGTTGCTGTCGTAGCTTGATTACACCCCTGGGGAGTGTGTAGTGCAATCTGATTACGTGTCATCCCGTTAATGGCTTCTACTATATCTATCTCTCCGGATCCTGGCCAGGTGGATTGGAGGCCTAAAGTCCAGAAGGAGGGCCAGACGGAGCAGCCGTAGGGGATGTGGAGGGCGTCGAGGAGGATGAGGGTGCCGAGGGGGTAAGAGTCTTGTGAGGTTATGCGGATCTATGCGCGTGGAGGGGGGTTAGCGGAATAACGAAGGGAGGAAAGAAAGGGAAAGGGAAGCGCACGGAATCACGATTGACGACTGTACCAGCGGGAGCCGCGACGAGTGACGTGGTATTATCTACTTTGATAATCGCGTTTCCTGCGGCGTTGATGGATGTGAGGCCTTTGGAAGTCGCGTTTGCGCGGTCTTGGTATGTTACGTTCCCTTTTTTTGCGAAAGTACGTTGAACGAAAAGGAAAAGGAAAAAGAAAAGACGAGGGGGAGACGTACCCCAAGTGGTATTATCGACAAAACCGTAATAGTCCCATTTATCGAAGAATGTGGAGCCAGCGTATTCGCGCAGGGGGTAGTAGAGTGCTTGGGTTTGGGACGTGGCGAGGGAGAGGAGGAGGAGGACGTTGGTGAGAGCACCCATGGCGGGGAAGTCCTAGGGGCTGGTAACGCAAGAAGAAGGGAAGGAAGACCGCTGTTACTGAGCACATGCTGATGCATATACTCCGAGTTCTGCGCGGCGATCGTTGCCCTCGTCAGCATCAACGTTTACGCCTTTTTTTCATTGTTTACAAACCCATCCGGTGTGTGTGCATAGCTGTGCACTCAGCCAAGAATTAGAGCAAAAGACGACACCAGCGTGTTGTCCTGGGCTTGGGATGTGAACTGGAGGCGTTTTTTGAAAGTACAATGACTGGAACGCAAAACCTTTTCTAGACGCTAGCGATTTTGATGTCAAACGCCCGCATCCGGGCCGGCATCTTCCTCCTCCACTCCACCTGGAAGCTTGTGGTCTGGTCATCCAATGGTCATCAATGCATCAACGCTACAGACCGGAAGAACAACAAGGGATTTCATGTTTCGCTTCCACTCTTTCACCTCCATTCCGACCTGTACGCAAAATGACATGGCGATCAATAGGCTGCGGCATCATCAGTAATTTTGACGGGCCCTTGAGCTTGTGTGCAGACGGACCACACAAAGTTCTCTTGGCAACCTTGCTGGAACCTCTCCGAAACTGACTCCATGTAAGTATTCTTTCGGGGGTGACCGCTGGATCCAAAATCAAGTTTGAAAGCAGTTTGAAAAAACACGTCGGAAGCGAGGACTCTGAACGTCCCTGTTCCTCCAAGTAAGTAGATCGAATAAACTCACCATTTAAACTCTGGGCTTGACCGACAACTTTTCTCTGCTAAACAACCTTGCTGGAACTCACCCTCAGCTGTTTCAAAGCTGACGCTCATCTTTTGAACTCTGGGCTTGAACGACATTCTTTATGTTATCGCTACGCGTCTTATAAGTGCGCTTGTTATCCCGAGTCTAGTGGCTCAAGAAAAAAATCAAATTTCCCAATGTCCCCGACCAGCGACAATCAATTGACCACGATTTACGCGCACGATGCACAATGGAATGCCTCGCCGTCTAGGGACGGCTTCATTTTTACCATGTGGTGCTTACATTTACATGGAGTCCCTCCCCACAACTCGGACTACTCTTGGCTCGAGTGATTCGGGCTCATCCCCGAGTCTGAAAGTGCTGGGCAGTGCCAAAAGCTGGACAATCCATGGGCCGTCAAAGTTGATATCCATAGAGGGTTATAAGTTTATGATTTTCGTTTTCCCAAAAAACCGACACCAATGGCTCGTCTTCATCGTCTGAAGTTTTTTTCATGTGGGAGTCGGAGCCGGGTTGTGCGCTATGCGCCGCAGTGATGGTAAGCGCGGACTCTTGAACCCCTCCGGAATTTTGCAATTCAATCCCATATCCATCTAAGTGACACCCCTTTCCAACCCGCTACGTCCTTTTCCCGTCACCACAATTGGGGCATCATTATTTTTAGTACAGCTCAACAGTCCTGTTATTCCGATGACAAGAATGAGTAGAAAGAGATACGCCCGGTGGTACGTGAACACATAATAGATTTGAACTATCGAATCACACACTGCAGATGCCAGAAACCATGTTGGTACCATCTCAAAAAAGGGCTAAACTCGAAGGATAAAGGATTGAGTCGGTGATTCCGAGGACGGTGACCTGTGATCCCTTGGCCCTGAAAAATCTACAGCTTCCCTATGCGAATGAAATGTGTCCGGGTCGGTGTGTACGTACTGAATGTCCACAACCGTCATACAACGCTCAGATTTGACGAATATGCGCGCGTCAACTGCTGCGTCACCAAGCTCTTCATAACGAAGATAGCGTCCACATTCAATCCTAGAATCGAGGGAAATAAGGAAGCTTTGAAGGTCCTCTGGCTTGCCTCGATAAAGAGTGACGTCAACTCGTTTCAATGTCGCTCCTTTTCCAAGGACACACCGCATTTCAACAAAAAATAGCAGACGTGATTGGGACGACTTGAAGTTCTCGCCCACTGAGTCTTCACACCGAAATTCTTCTAGCATAGGACAAAGACAATCAGGGTTTTCTTCAGAAGGAGTGAACCTATCAGCAACTTCATCAAAGATAGAACCATTCGTGGAATTGATTAGATGGAGGTGAGTAACACGTGGGACTGATTGCAAGCAACATATCAGATCGTTTTGTGTCAATAACCATATGTCGAGGACAAGATGCTTCAATTTATGACCATGCTGTTCGAGGAGGCCCATGAAAGTAGAGCGTTGATCTGCTTGTATCCCTCCTTCACCAGCCCATGCAATTTCAAAGCTGATCTCTAGATGACGAAGGACGGGTAAATCGATGATACGGATGAAACCATCTCACCCGTATAAAATTCAATTTTAACGATTTTACCGATAAAAGGTCATCTCTAATAAATACACTACATACAATTGCAATGATACAAAGAGTCGATGCGCATACCCGGCGCAGTTGACTAAAAATGCAAATGCGTGGAATCTGAAAATAGGACAAAGGCTTTGGAACTGGCAGCAGTACGCGTCGTGACATTATACTTGGATCCCATCTAAGATTCACCTACCATGAAATAGAGCACGGAGAGGTTCTAGAGTAAACACCCAACGCAGGGAGAAGAATTGCATTACTACTCAAGGGTTTAGAAACACATAATGGATTTATTGTGAAAACTCGTGCTTATACAAGAAATACAGAAAAGACGACATAGACGCCTAAATGGCATGTCTGAAACATGGAAAGACTAAACTACACCTAGGTAGTAGACGTATGAAGACTTAGCGTGGCTCACGGCCATTCAGAAAGTCATGTACGGCAGTTCCCGCGTACGCATCAAAGACTGATGCGTCTGAACGTCACAAGTACAAACATGAGAAAAAGACACATTCTATTAGATGAAATATAATAAGAACCCCCTGACAATTAAGAAAGACATTTGAAAACACCTTCGGAGTGTCTCCCGACCTCCGTAATGAAAAGACGAGCCAAGACAAGGCATTTTAATTAAAAACTCGGAAGCGACGGAAGGCCGAAGACTATTGGTAAACGCGTACGCATGCGCATCAACGCATCAGGAAACGTTAATCATTTTGTGATGTCATCTGTCAAACCGGTAAACCGGGCCATAGAAAGAAACACGCGAGATCATGCCAAGCTAAGAATAGCTATGTCGGCTAACTCCGCGTACGCATCAAACACTGATGCGTTTGAAAATGAAAGACGTGACACTACAAAATCTGTAGTGTTCACAGAGATAGACTACAAAATATACCACTCGTTCATTAAATTTCATATTTGTAATTCGGACCGAAGTATCCCGCTTTAAAACACATGTAAAACGTAGATAGGGGTTCCTGGAGTATATAAGGAGCGCGCTGGCAGGTCAAAAGGGAAGCAATCGTCCCCCGTTGACCAGCTAGTTGCACTCCAAGTAGAGACTTAGGAGGTGGACAGTTGTAATCAATTAAAGGAGATTTCTTCGTGGTCAAGAAAAGTACAGTGTGAACGAAGCCAGCGTGCTTGGGAGTCAACTTGCTTGGAGACTTTTGAATAAGAGGTTTTAAGGACACAGTATCATTTTAGACGAGACAGCGTACTCGTACCCTTGGTTTTGGAGCGTAGTGACATAATAAAAACTCACGGGAGTCATAAAAGTCAATTAAAGTCGTGTTTTGTGTTAATAAAAGAAACTGTGATCAAAGAACTTTGCATTTAAGAGACCAAGTTCCCAGAAAGACCTACTTTGTTCTATTGAACTATTCTAAACCACACCTTATAATAAAAACCCGTTTTGAGACGAAATCTCTTGAGACTTAAACCTAAGAAGACAAAAGTGGTATTTCTTAATACCAAAGGCCCTCGAACTCTTGCACCGAGATTGTGATAGTGTGTGTGTGTGTGTGTGAGTGAGTGTTAGGTGTTTAGGGTTTTCCCCCAACGCGCTTGATCCTTGTTTGCGTGTTTCGCACTTTCACGTTCATCCCCGTGCAAAGCGTATCATCTGGAGCCCACCGCGAGGGTCTCCTTTTGTTTTTGATAAAGCAAAGACTTGAAAGTTTAGTGATCTACGGGATCATTTTATTTGAACGGAAGTTTAAATTAAAAACCGCTAGCGTTTGAAGCAATTTAAATACTAGTGCAGAGCCGTTCACCACGGCACCAAAAATCAGACAAACAGCGAATTCTATTAAAGCAGGGGAATCGTCAGGTTTACCACCTCCACCTAAACGAAAAGCTAAGCAACCTGCAACAGCAGTAGCGCAAAGGTTTCCGTTAAGAACAGAGACAGTATCCCAACTGCCTCCTCGCACGACTCGTAGAAAAACTGTTAGGGCATCTGATAATATAAACCCGAACTCGTTAGCCCAAAGAAATATTACAAACATGCCAGATAATACCCGAGATGAAGCTCCTGCCACTGGAGGCAGAAGATCGTCTAGACCGATGCCATTGCCAGGCTCCCGAGGAGCTCCTAACTTTGACAAGGAAAAACCCATTGAGCTGTTAAGATTCATTGACCAAATGGAGGACTTGTTCACAGAGCATGGTATCGATGATGATCAAGAAAAGAAGAAACAGTTAGGAAGGTATACGGACCAGATGACGGAATTTGAATGGCGAGCATTTGACACCTTTGCTCCCGAAATTGAATACAAGGAGTTTAAACAGGCGTTGATCGATGACTATCCAGAGGCAAAGAATGCTGGAAAAGGAACACTAGCAAATTTGAGAAAAATTTGTAATGACCATCAGCGCATTGATATTGATGACATTGTTGCACTTAAAAGCCTCACTAGAGGTTTCCGGGCAGAACAAAAATTACTCTTGGTGCCACCTGCCTTGGTGAGCAACAGAGAATTGGTAGAACTGTTTTTAGGATGTCTAAGGGATAGTTTCCGAGGACAAGTGGAAGGAAGTCTCAATATTAAGCTTTCCCGAGACAAAGGAAAAGCTGTCGATG